AAAAATTGAACCAAATTTAATATTAAAAAAATTTTTTTTTTCAAAAATTTAACATTTTTTAATTATCACTGTTAAATATAGTATTATGTTTAAAATCATGAGCAAACTTGGTAGGGATCCATACGACGATTAGAACTTGAAGAGTGTAATCCATGCGGACCTCCACTTTTTCTAATAATTTTTATAGAAAAAAACTGGCATTCCGATAATAAAGTATGAAGTACCCATCAAGGGAAGAAAAATCCACCGCGACGCTCAAGCTGACCTCCATGCCCCCTCGAATGTAATCCAAATAACTGAGAATTTACGTATAAATACAAGTGTAAATTATTTCTTCCTTTATAAAAATCCCAGAAATTTTCAAATGAGTAATATATAATTAAAATTATTGAAATTACGAGTATCCTTTTACTAGCTTAGCGGTCAGGTTTAATGTGCCTGAATTTTTATACTGGCTCTTTTTAAGTTTTTTCTGATTTATAAGTTCAAAAGTATGAGGCCCACTGAGCAAGTCTGATACACAGGTCTACATTTTTCAAAAAAGATAACAATCTGAATAACAAATTTATTGAAACAAAAGAAAACCTCAAACGATCCAATAAGGTCATCGCTTCCACCTAAATCCCAATCATAACAAGTTACCTTTATTTTTCTAATATTTCATAATATTATATTAAAATTGACTTTGGCATTTACAGAATTGATAACCTCGCTAAATCACCGTTACATAAAGTGCGAACCGGGATGATCTGCTCTTGCCAAACCGGGTTTAGATTATTCATTATAACTTCGGTCTTGAAAGAGTAGTTAGTTTTAATTCTTAAAGGAAACACTATTTATAAACGAATACTTTATGCACAAGAGTCCACGATTCATCTTTGTTTTTTTTGTAAAAGCAAAGATACCCATCCGATTTTCCAAAGATGTCTTTTTTGTCAAGTTTGCTCTAAAAACCAAGTAGACCAATAATAAGAATTGTTACTCAGAAAGTAACAAGTTATTACCGCTGAACAATTAATAACGAGATTGTTGTTGTCACAATCAAATATTTCCTCAGCTCTTATTTCTATTTTCGCGTATAACGCCGCCCCAACCTCGTTACTAAAAGAGTTATTATTATAATAAACCTGTAGCTTCTCCCGCTTAAATTTTAAAAAATTAACTGAAAGTTGTTTCTAAATATCAGTATAGTTTTCCGTTAGTCACCCTTGCAACTAACAAAATTTGTTTATACACTTAACTTATACGTAGCATGAGACAAAAAAAAGAATGGTTTACATATTAAAAACATAACTTATGTAAATGTTGCTCTTTGAAAAAAGAGACTGAAAAAAATAACACTAATATTTTAATTGGTCAATTCCAATTTATATTCTCATTTAAAATTAATCCTCGCTGCTTTAAGATTGGCTAAAAAACTTTATTTTCAACATTCTAATTCATTCAGCAATAAAAATTGTTAGGTTATTTTAAATTTAAGTTACTTATACAATAGAATAATTTAGTATAGAGTAAACCACTTGCAAAGTAAACTTTCTAATCTACATAGTTGTTCAACAATAAGAAACCCTAAAATGTGAAGCGCTCAATATTGTACAAGACTTATTCAAAATTTAATTTACTTCAAATTAAAAAACAGATCAAAACTTTAAGCAAAATAGGTATAAAAAATTGTCAAAAAACATTATCATTTGATTAAGCTTCAATAAGACATATATTATAGAAGCAATTTTTTTATAACAACAAAACTAGATAAAGTTGTAGAACTAAAGGCGTAGAAAAGTACCTAAGAGTTTTTTTTAGAAGAGAGTTGGATGATCTAAAAGTAAGTAAAATAAAAATTGAAATAAATCTAGTGGTACATTGAAGTTTACCTGTACAATTCTCCTACAGTGCAAGTAACGGAACCAACGAAAACTTCTCTTATCTCTTCCACATAAAATACAGAGCATTTAAGAATTTGGTTACATTCAAAGTAAAAAGGAATTTCCACTGCTTTTACAAACTCATGGCTTAAGGAGGCCCTTCAAATAAGTATTTAAAAATTATAAAAGGGGCAATATAACTAAAGTATATTTACTACAAAATTAAACTATAAGGTATAGAAGGTATAGAAGTATGGAAGTTATAGAAAAAGAAATAAGTTACATAGATATTTCAGTTTTTCCCACCAACTGAAATTTCTCTTGAGGACCATTCTTTATTTCAACAAAAACTTGTGGGTTTTTACTTTGACTGGGTTCTAGAACTGGAAGTCTTTTACACTTGAAAGTGAGGGAAATTTTAGTTTTAGTTCTTGATTGTGGATCTTCCATTGTAACCTTAATATTAAAAAAACTTAAAGTATAAGCTATAGTATTAAGTTAAACATAGTGGAAGGTCCCTTAAATATGAATACAACCGACGCTCCTAAAGGCCCTTGGAATGTTTATAATTCCTAACTTAACAAAAATATACATTCCAGTGATAATTTTCCAAAATTAGAAGGTAGACGGATAAAACAACATTTAAAATATTTTCTCTAAAAAGTACAACAATAAAGAATAATTTTTTAACCGAAAGTTGTCACTTTTAACTCGTTCTTTTAACGTATAATTGATCTCCAGTTTTAACAGGTACTTGAAAGAGTTTTGTTTGCTAACAGTATAACAAAAAAAGTATATATACGTTACTAAAGAGGAATTTAAGATTTTTTTTTTTTAAAAAATATGTAATATAAAACGCTTTAATTAAAAAGTGTCAAATTTATTAGCAGAGTTTAAGCTTTTCATCTTGTAAAGATAAAAAGATGAAAATTTTGTTACGTAGTAAAAACTTTTTAGGTATTTTTTATTCAAGATTAATGTAAAATTTGGTTGGTATTTCTCTTCAGAAACTTGGTATTATAAAAATACTATGACTTGCTTTCCAATATAATTAGTAAAATTGATAACTTATAATTTAAATAAAAAAAAAAAAGGTAATTAACGTTAAACTGAAAACTGAATTCAAATAAGTTTTTAATTCTAATTTTTAATCAGGTAAATTACGAATTGTTTTCGTATTTGTGGTCACTAATTATGTTTTAAAATGCCCAAAGCAATGGAAATTTTATAATAAAAAATGAAACTCCAGTCATGTTTTTAATATATTAAAAATAAAGAAATTGAGTTTTAAAATAAAGCTAGGAAAAGCTATCAATAGTGATTATTAAAATGAATCACGCAGTTACATATTTGCATCTTTGTTTATTTTGCTTATTAATACAATCGGGCATTAGCGCGTTTTTATTGAAGGTAATAAACAAGGAGATTATTACCATGTGCGTGTATACAAAATTCTAATTTTACTATGAAGTTGTAAGCTTTTGCTTTTCTATCGCTGGCCTCTTGTCCCTTGTTCCTCTTAGTAGACGCAGTTGGTTATGGAGTCTGCATACCGTCAGTCGGTCAGGTCAAACTGTTATACCTTTAACAGTAATGTCGAAAGCTTAAGTTCGTGCAAGCAAGGTATGTTTCAGTGATCATTACTATCATGGTAGACCTTATTATCAAAATCTACAAGTGAAATGACTATTAGAATTATGTGTGTGTAACCTTGCGCGAAAAAATAATATGAAGTTACAAAGACATTTTTGTGGTCTGCAAAATTAAATGTATAATTGGACGTTTGTGCAAAAGGTAAAGCTGTATCCACTAAAGATATCTTGAATAATACGAGCGATAATAGGATTTTCTTTAATAATTTACCTACAATAATTTAAAAAAAATTGAGTATAGTTGAAGCATTACACTACTCCATGCGCCTAATATATGTTCTATATGACCAACCGTTTTAGTTTAACTTTGAATACTTTCTCCCATTTAATAACTTTTTATTGAAAATCATTCTACTGATTTTTTTATGCATTAATTTTAATAAAGCACTTTGAGTTTATATTTTTTTACAAATAAGAGGGTTAATTCAAAAAAAATTGATAAACTGTGTGCTGTAATTTATGGTAACTGTTCCATATGTTGGAATTATTCCGATAAACCTCGTGCTGTCATCATAGTATGTTACACGTTTAAATTAAGCAAATAAAATTTAGTTGCGACTAAAACAGAACTATGAAACTTTTAAGACTGAGCTATCTACGGTTAGTGGGTATAATGGTTTAACAGTTTATCTCTTTAGAAACCGTTATGTACACTTACTATATCAATCGAGGAATAACAGCAAAAGTAATCAAGAACTGAAAACAAAATGTAAACTCTTCATCCTTGTTGTTAGAAGCCTACAGTTTATATATATAATAATTAATGCTTTAATCAGATTCGCTATATCACTCCCCTCCTATAAAGTTTACTGTTAAACTACCGGGTTTCTACCAATAACGCCATTGGGTTTTTACTCACCCGGTTTATTACTGCACTATTATTGGAAGGTATAATTTCTAAGACTTAACGAGATACCATAATTAATAATCTAAGCACACAACCTTAAAGAACGTACTCCAGGCTTACAGTACCTTATTAATGATACTAATATGACATATGACTTTAAAATTTTAGTCTGAAAGTAAGTTTTCATTTAGTATTGCAATAAATAACACGTATAAGCCCGTCATCAGTTTTATTTTTATTATAGCGATGTATGATGTCTCTATTATGACAGTTTTCCTATATTACAATTGTTCGCTATTTTATGCTCAGCTGATTGTAAATGCGGGCTTCTATAGGTAATTTACTGGAATTATAAGGTCACTTAGCAGGTTTGCCATTTGTGTAACATAATTCACAAATCCCTTTCCTCCCCTAGTTAAAAAAAATTGCGCGGTTTTTCTTAATACTATTGAATACATTCATATCTTAGTAGTCTTAGTAGCTTGGGGGTAAAATTTATCCATTTATCTGTTCAAAACGTTAAGGTAATTATCTACTGAGTAATTTAGGCTTTAAGTAATATCAGTGATAAAATTTATTACTAAAGAGGTCATTTAACCTACAAAAATTAAACTGTTTAAATAAAGTTTAGGGAGGTTCTTCGCCGTCATTTAATACAGTGAAAGAAAGTCAAAATTTTTTCAAAAACTTTATGAGATGATCCACTTCAAGGTCGTTCAGCAGCTATGGTCTCTCCGGAAAATATATAATTTGTTGAAGTGGTATTAGGTGCTCACCTTTTGAAGACCAAGGAAATTGCAGGATCTACCAATTTTTTAAACCACGATTTATTCGAGTTCTTCAAATATGACAAAGATAAGCGCAAGATGGGCGCTTAAACTTCTCACCCCACTTCAAAAACAAAGAGTGAATTGCTGTTGGAGCTTTGCCACGATAATGAGAAAGAAGTAAATAAGTCCATTGTTACGGGATACGATACCAAGGTTCTTTACAATGATCCTTAGTGGAAAAGAGAATGAATGTTGCGGAGTCGTTGGGATGAGCCACCACCAGAGAAAGCAGGCCCTTAATAACAAAAAAAGTTATAACACAATCTTCTGGAATTCTATGATCAATGGTGAAGTTAAAGGGAGGAACATAACCGTAAATGGGATACGCTACGCAAGTTTATTACGTAAAAACTGCATGATGTCATTATAGAAAACGGCGTGGAATGCTTAATCGAGGTGTGTGACTTCTGAACTTAGGTGTCCAGTCTATAGTGTTAAAATATATGCTTGTAGAGCAATAAAAATTATATTTTATTGTAAGTAGAATATATAAAGAAGATATATGTATAAGAACAAGATAGAAAAAAGTCCACTTAGCCAATTGACTAGCAGATAGGTCAGATGTACTAAGGGGATTCCACTGGATACCAAGAACTTTTTATGGTTCCAGTTGTAAACTGACTTTGTACTTCGAAACAGAATTGGCCAGTTCCAAGAACTGAAATTTATATACGAGAAAAATCTTTAATTTGCATTAGCTCAAAGTGTCAGTATTACATTCCAGTTTTATATACGTAATCGTCATGCTGTGTCGTGTAAATTACTTTCTATTAGGTTTTTATTTCACACATCAAAATTAGATTAAAAAATGTATATAGGGAAGTATATTAAATAAAGAAAGCTTTTATTGACCAGTTTCGGTCTGTAATTTTACCTTTACAAAAGGTCGAAATATTCTTCCATAATGTATAGTAAATTTAATTGAACCAGATAAAATTTTACTTGGTTTAGTTTGTATCCAATTTAATAAGGTAGATTCCAATTTTATTTGTGTTGGCTGTTTCACAGGTTTCTGATTGGATTAATTAGATCACGGATCAATTTTTGTGAAAATTTAAAGGGTTAGTGTTTTGTGCTTGTTTGTTTTCGTATTTTTGTTTTTATGTATATGTGTTTTCTGGTTGTGTACTTTATACTTAATATATTATACAATATGATTTTTGTAATCTCGGTTTATTTTTTTTTTTCTAATTATGTTTTTGTGTTTTCCGTATATTGTGTTTTTGTATCTTGTATTTTAAATTGTGCCTTAGGTGTTGTGTAGACTGTTGTTGTGTTAACCCATACCGCTGTAGTTCGTGGGTATAGCCTTATTGAACTAAACCATCCCCTTTAGAGTTCAGACCTGACCCCTCCGGCGACTGTTTCCTCTTTAGTTGTTCACGGCTGATAGTCTCGAGAACCCGTATATTTTAAAAAAATAAATATGTATTATAGGAAATTTAAAAGGCTAAAGAAAACTATGGTGATTTAATTTACAATTTTTAACTTCCGAGGAAACTAAGAGCGAGTAAGTACTATACAACAATAAAAGCGTGCTCACTTGCTTATGATTTGCAAAACTCTCGAGCAAGTCACCCTCACATTACATACACTTTGCAAAACTCAAATAGGACTCTAAGGGGAGGAGATTTGAGGAAGAGAGTGAAGTGAGTGAAGTGAGATCTGTTTTTTATGCACATTTAATGGACAAAAATTCACAGTATTTTCATGGGGATTAAGAAAAGTTAATTTATAATTAGTGTGTTGGAAAGCAAGGAGATAATAATTAAAAAATAATATATACTCTTGATTATCGTTTTTAACATCACCTGGGCGGGAACTTAAGAACTGTACCTTACCAGCATTCAGCTTCCGTTGATAACGGGACTTTTTTTGTTCTTGACTTCTATATAAAGGAACACCCCACTCCCATTATGGATTTTCGAGAAAACTTGAACTTCAAAGGTGTTACTTCTAGTTTTAATAAAAGTTCACGATATCATTTTAGATATCAGAACCATTTTCGCAGTTTTTCAGTGCTCTTTACGGTAACCTTTAAAGTGTTGAGACAAGTTACTTGCTATGCATTGGATAGATGTCTCGTGAAACTCGCTAGGTACTGTAGCCCTCCGCCTGGTTCCCAAAAGGGCACTCACGCCTTATCTATTATATTGTTAATTAACATTATACTGTTGAAAAAAAGATCCCAGGTCATAAATTTTAACTCAAAATAACCATTTTTAGGCAATTTTATGATTATTATTGATTATTTCATTGATTACTTGTTAGTATATAATGAGAGTTCACGAATAATAAACCGGCAGTCGTGTTAACATCTTTTTAGTCCTTTTTTTGCTTTAATCACATCTGTACATCTCTCTCTCTGTATATATATATATACAAATTTGTTTACAATTAATTTTAAAGAGTTTAAAGGTTTAAATACCCTAAAATATACATTTGGTATTTGACCTGTTTAGAATGAGACATGTTAATTCGTGTAAGAAGCATTAGGTCATAACCCGTTTTCCAGATATGTTGTTCTCCAAATAAGTAAAGTACAACCAACAAACCTGCCCCAAGAAAACTTCTTTAATTTTAAGTTTAGTTCATCAACAACTTAGTTCATCTTTCTTGCCAGCAACAGTTTTAAGTCCTTAATTCACACTACCCCATGTCCCCCATGCATATTTATAAAGACAATGGTTTTTCGCTGAAAAAAAACGCCAAAGCCCGACGAGAATAGCATACGAGACCGGCCTTGTTCGTTCATCGATGTCTTTATAAGGTTACGCTTAATTAATCATCGTCCCAAACCACCATTTTTGACCTATAATAGTATTTGAATAATTTTTAAATAGTAAAAGATTCTCGATAGGCAATTATAAGATGAATACTAGGTTCTAAAGTATAATAAATTATAATAAATTACCCGGACTATAGTCATAAATTTGTAAATCGGGCTACGTACTGAAAGCAAAACCCCTCTCCTACGTTGTGTTATACAATCTTTTACCTGTCTTACTAATGGAGAGGCAGGTGGTAGTTCAATTGATTAGCAGCCAAAAGCCAGTCTTAAACTATTTAAAGAACTATTAAATATGTCCAAGTTTTGCTGAAAAGACCAAATAGAAGCCGGAGTTGATATTAAGCCTTTTTTAAATATGTGATTAAATTAGCCTCTTTTTATAACCAGAACTAAGGTTATGACATTATCTAAGATAAAAAACGAAAAACTAACCGAATTTAGAGTAATAAAAAATTCAGAAACGGAACTTATAATAACGAATAAAGCAAATAATAAGAAGATTGAAATATGAGAAGAAACAATACTGGGTAAAAAATAATCCATAGGAAAAAATACAGAACAACTTAGAATCCAAGTAGAACAGTCAAGGACAAAAATAAAACGGCGTCTTGTAGTAAAGAATAAAAAAAAACCTGCTATTAATTCTAATAGTAATAAATATGCACTAGCAAAATTAGGTCTTAATAATGGATCCATCAAGGCTTTAAAACCCAATGGCGTTATTGGTAGAAACCCGGTAGTTTAACAGTAAACTTTATAGGAGGGGAGTGATATAGCGAATCTGATTAAAGCATTAATTATTATATATATAAACTGTAGGCTTCTAACAACAAGGATGAAGAGTTTACATTTTGTTTTCAGTTCTTGATTACTTTTGCTGTTATTCCTCGATTGATATAGTAAGTGTACATAACGGTTTCTAAAGAGATAAACTGTTAAACCATTATACCCACTAACCGTAGATAGCTCAGTCTTAAAAGTTTCATAGTTCTGTTTTAGTCGCAACTAAATTTTATTTGCTTAATTTAAACGTGTAACATACTATGATGACAGCACGAGGTTTATCGGAATAATTCCAACATATGGAACAGTTACCATAAATTACAGCACACAGTTTATCAATTTTTTTTGAATTAACCCTCTTATTTGTAAAAAAATATAAACTCAAAGTGCTTTATTAAAATTAATGCATAAAAAAATCAGTAGAATGATTTTCAATAAAAAGTTATTAAATGGGAGAAAGTATTCAAAGTTAAACTAAAACGGTTGGTCATATAGAACATATATTAGGCGCATGGAGTAGTGTAATGCTTCAACTATACTCAATTTTTTTTAAATTATTGTAGGTAAATTATTAAAGAAAATCCTATTATCGCTCGTATTATTCAAGATATCTTTAGTGGATACAGCTTTACCTTTTGCACAAACGTCCAATTATACATTTAATTTTGCAGACCACAAAAATGTCTTTGTAACTTCATATTATTTTTTCGCGCAAGGTTACACACACATAATTCTAATAGTCATTTCACTTGTAGATTTTGATAATAAGGTCTACCATGATAGTAATGATCACTGAAACATACCTTGCTTGCACGAACTTAAGCTTTCGACATTACTGTTAAAGGTATAACAGTTTGACCTGACCGACTGACGGTATGCAGACTCCATAACCAACTGCGTCTACTAAGAGGAACAAGGGACAAGAGGCCAGCGATAGAAAAGCAAAAGCTTACAACTTCATAGTAAAATTAGAATTTTGTATACACGCACATGGTAATAATCTCCTTGTTTATTACCTTCAATAAAAACGCGCTAATGCCCGATTGTATTAATAAGCAAAATAAACAAAGATGCAAATATGTAACTGCGTGATTCATTTTAATAATCACTATTGATAGCTTTTCCTAGCTTTATTTTAAAACTCAATTTCTTTATTTTTAATATATTAAAAACATGACTGGAGTTTCATTTTTTATTATAAAATTTCCATTGCTTTGGGCATTTTAAAACATAATTAGTGACCACAAATACGAAAACAATTCGTAATTTACCTGATTAAAAATTAGAATTAAAAACTTATTTGAATTCAGTTTTCAGTTTAACGTTAATTACCTTTTTTTTTTTTATTTAAATTATAAGTTATCAATTTTACTAATTATATTGGAAAGCAAGTCATAGTATTTTTATAATACCAAGTTTCTGAAGAGAAATACCAACCAAATTTTACATTAATCTTGAATAAAAAATACCTAAAAAGTTTTTACTACGTAACAAAATTTTCATCTTTTTATCTTTACAAGATGAAAAGCTTAAACTCTGCTAATAAATTTGACACTTTTTAATTAAAGCGTTTTATATTACATATTTTTTAAAAAAAAAAAATCTTAAATTCCTCTTTAGTAACGTATATATACTTTTTTTGTTATACTGTTAGCAAACAAAACTCTTTCAAGTACCTGTTAAAACTGGAGATCAATTATACGTTAAAAGAACGAGTTAAAAGTGACAACTTTCGGTTAAAAAAAATTAAAAACTCATTAAAAAAAATTACAGGCAGATTATATGAAAACAAGTCATTATATACTAGTGAACCGTTAATCAAGCCATGCATGCCATAACACAAATTTCACGGTCCAGTAATTAAAATTAAAAGATCATTGTTAATAGTATAGTTAGTGTATACAAATAATTAAAAATTAAAAAATTTGTTGTTTTTTTAATTTAAACAAACCTAAGAAGATGCTTATAACTTTTTCACTATTTTGATTTTTAGTACAATAATTTGTTAATAAAGCAAAAGAAGGGGTTCTTGCCTACACAAAATCAAGACCTCCCTTCATTTAAAGTATAAAAGAGACAGTCAAATAAACTTTTAACTTTAATTTTAATATAACAAATTAAAAGTTAAAAAATTTAATCATTCCGGATTTTTTTGGATTAATAGCAATAAATTTTACATCCAATTTTTTTTTTAACTTAAATATTAAATATTTTGCCTGTTATTTATTGACGACCGTTTTCTTCCTGTTTCGTTGGGAACAACTTTACTATAATTTAAAGTATTCCTTTAATATTTAAAATTATGTATAAAATTGTAAACTGCTCATTTAATTTAATACAGTTTTAAAAGAAAATTTTAGCATAAAAATTATTAAAATTGACAATAAAACTTTACTGAAAAGCTCTCGATAAGGTTTTAGTATATATTTTTTATTTGTTTGTCATGTTAAACAGCGTTTAAGTATGCGGTTTGTACACTTATCTGTTATTAACTTAACACCGTTGAAATTTTTATATATGATTGGTTAAAGGCTTTTCTAGTAAGGCCTTGTCATTTGTTACTTTAGTGGATATATTTTATTAGTCAAAGTCTAAAGATAATGATATTAAAAATATGTAATTACCCAGGGGTTGCTGGTTTTTAATGTAATTCTGCTATAATCTCAACATTATATTTTTTTTTAAACAAGAAATTTTAATAGCATTATACAGGTAATTTTTCTTCCACATTCAGTTTACTTGCAAACTTTTATAAAAGTAATTTAATCAAGGTTCTTTACGACTAAAGATGTCTTCAGTCATTGCCGCTTTTTTGATGGCTATTGCGGCCGGCCTTTCCACAACTATCGGAGCCGCATTGGTTTTTTCGAAAAAGCTCTTTCATACTAAAAATTTTGGCTTAGCAATAAGTTTAGGTTATATACTTGTGGAAATTTTTGGTTTTCTTTATCTAACTTTTTTAATTTTTTTTTACATTACCTACTGGCAGGAATTTCTTCGGGAATTATGATCGGTGTATCTTATCTTGAAATTTTCAAAAAATCCGTTGAACATTTTAAAAAGTTGGTTTTACAAGTAATAATATTTTCCGAATTAAGAAAAAATTTCTAGGCCACTTTTCTCTTCCAGATTCCAAGTTGACGACCGTTAAGAGCAGTACTAATTAATTTTTATATAATTTAGCTGCAATTGCTTGTGGAAAACGGGTGACTATGAAAAACCTGCTTATATAATGGCTATAATATCGACAATCACTGGAATTTTAATTATGTTTTTACTTGATGCAGCGATTTTTATTATAAAAAAAGGGAATCCATTTAGTTCTGGAAAAAAGAAAGTTGAAACCCATTTATTTCCGCATTTCCACCACAGAAACGATACTAGAATTCTTAATACAGCTGTGAAGGGAGTTGTGGATGGAACGACTCAAGAGCCCGCAGTTGGTTCAAACCACTTTTTCTCTGCTAGTCGTGCCAGCGGAAATAAAGAGCTGCCTCTTAACGAGCACAACAATACTTTATTTCGTGATGAACTTAAAAAGAGCGGCAAAGAAGAGCCTTCCGAAAAAAGCAGAGAGGTAGATAAGGACAGTCAAGAAGATGATTCCTTAAAAAAAAAAAAATTAAAGCATTTGGGTTTAATAACCGCGTTGATTATAACCTTGCATAATATCCCAGAAGGTTGAGTGTTTATCATTAACTAAACAATAAACAAAAGATTTCTTATAATAGCGAAAAAATAGGGCTCGTCACTTATATCGCAGCCCTTCGAGATTTAAAAATAGGAGGAGCGTTAGCCTTTGCTATTGTAGTTCACAATATACCCGAAGGGCTATGCATTGCCATCCCCATCTATTACGGCACCGGAAATCGATGGAAAGGTTTTGAAAAGAAAAATAGTAGTCTTCATACTGCGTGGTTTTGCTATATTGCAATTTACAAAAAGGTTTCTGGTTCGGTTTTTGGTCAGGTGTCAGTGAGATTATCGGAGCCCTGATTGGCTATGCCATCACTAATTCGACTTCGGGAGAGCAGTATTATGCGGCCCTTTTTGGTATTGTTGCAGGTTCTATCGCTATCATTTTTTTATTTTAGGAAAATGTTATTTAATATATCATAAGGGATGATGACTGCTATAGTTGTAAAAGAAATGCTTCCTACGGCATTTGAATACGACCCTTCAAACAAAGTGATTAGCTCTTATACGACTCATAACTTTATAACTTTTTATATGAGCTTTTTTTTACAACTATATAAATTTAATTACTAAAATTTATTATCTAACGTAACTTCTAGGTGGTCTCATATTCCTTTTTGGGAGGTTTTATCGTGATGTTGGTGAGCCTTATATTATTCAACCTGTAAAGCAATTAAAATATTTAATTTTTTTCAGTCTATTCTACTTACAATGTAATAAAAGCTTCAATGTTTACAACAAATTAGATAAAAAACAAGAACTAATATTAGTATTATGGCTATCAACTTTTACATAAAGGTTTTTTTTTTTCAATATCAATAATCTATGGTGGTAAAAAATTCTGTTAATTCCTTTAATCCAGCGAAAATTTAATATATAAGTATACAAAGTTTATATTATATTAATTATTCATGTTAAGGTTTCTGTCTGAAATCTATTATGATCTGAGAAGTTAATCTGACGTAATAATAAAAGCTTATATTTTAATATACAAAAGTTAGGAATAAATATAGACACCCGCCCGTCAATGTTAAGGGGACGCTACATCACGCTATATTATGGTAATTCTTTGATTCATTTAGTGCTGCTCACAGGCTTATCAATTGACTGCTATTCTACACTTGTAGAAAATTGCATAACTAAGTTGTACAAGTTTTAAAGTCTTCCACATTCTAGCAATATAGCAGCTACTATTTTATAGGAAAATTCGATCCATATGGCTAGCATATATCCTGCTATGGTTAATTGTACAAATTCTTAATTCCTAAAAAAAAAATAAAGTCAAGCACGTATAGAAGGCTTCAAAGAATATATATTATATTTATTACTTACATAATTAATGTATACAATTAGGTACTGAAAGAACTGTAAAAAATATTGTTTCAAATGCCTCTGCTTTTAAAAGTATAAAATTATACTCTTTTAAAAAAGAGTAACTTAAGACCCGAGTAGATAATATTGTTATTTCCACATTTTTAGATTGCAGCGAGTTCTGCAAAAAAAAAAAATACTAAATTTTAGGTTAAACTTAATAAGTAATTAATTATACGAGAAATTATTACTAAAATACTACATAATAATTAGTTTACTTAAAGATATCGAAGCATCTAATTTGACCAGTAAAATTACATTACTAGCAAAAAACAAAACAAGGAACACCTCAAAAGAATACATATATTAAGTAATATAAAACTATTCATCAAAAGCACACCCGGAAAATATATCAGAAAATAGACGACTAATTAATAAATATATCTAAACAACGGCTACTAGCGATATGCGTTACAATAGCAAATAAATTATAAACGAAAGATAAGCGACAGACAAATTCGCGTTATACCGAAAACAAAATGCATATAATTTGTTATTAAACCAATCGTAATAGTAAGTACGGCTAATGAACAAGCGAGAAGATTTGATTTTTTTGGCTTAGTATGTCATCTTTTAAACTACAGGGCCTTCTTAACTAACGAGTAAAAAAGAACGTGGCAGAATCAATTAAACTGGTTTGACTATACCCAAGAGATCTTTATTTCAGGCAAGTACGTAGCCATAGATACTCTACTTGGGTTTGCGTTTTAACATGGCAGTTCACATCTTTTTTATGCCTCCACATTTGCGATATTGGCTTTCTTAATCATGCGTTAGAATTACTTTACCCATTAATTCTATATTAGAATTTTAAGCTTAGTTTCACTTGTTTCGGATTCCGTTTACTTTATTTATTTTAAATTTTCGACATTCTTGTAATTCCTTTTTCCCTAGTTTTCTTTATAATATTTTTTCCTTTGTTTTTGCTAATATTTCTTTTATATTGTTGGGCATGTCGTTCTCATAAATTATTACAAGCTTGAATTTTAGCACTTCCAGAGCTTAAATGAATCGACAGAATAGTGGTTACGTAGAAAGCAATAGCAACGACCTTTCACTCTAACAGCTAGGCGTGCATTTGGCGCGCCAAACGCCCCTATATGTCCTCTCTGTATATAACAATTTTACCAAGGCAACTGGTGGTTAGGGCCCACTGCGTCACGTGCGCGCAAAATAAAAGACTGCAGGGGCTACTGCAACGTAAAGATATTAAACTTGTAGAGTTATGCCTCGCAACTGCTCGATATTGTGTTTCGCTAACTAAAGAATGTTAAAGCTTGGTCGTGTGACAAAGGGTTTACATGATAAGTGTACTGAACACATGTATGCTGGTGTATCTTTAGAAAATATAGTAAAAATGCTTCAGTGACCTTGTAAAAATTTCATTAAAATTTTTTATTTGCCTTTGTACTAACTAATTACTTCAATAAATGCTATGTGAGTGGTGTAAATTAGGCTTGTTTCTGATGTTAATTATTTCAATTAGACTAATCCAATAGTTTGAAGTTAATGTCTTTTTAGTTCTGTCAAAAATTGCAGCTACATATTTGCATCTTTTCCTACACTGGCATCGTAATCCTTTAAAAGAAGGAAAAATTTCACTGTAACTTGCAAAATATAGAAGTTGACCAGGTTTCCTTTAACAGTGCGCTCGACTAACCTTGTTTACTTTAATCTTATTCATAGCATTTTGCCCTCACTTTTATAAAAAAGTTAATGTCTTAACGATGTCTTTAAGTACTCTTGTTAATATGCTTGCCTTTGTAGTGTCCATAAGCTATAATACTTGTTTTATTGTTTTAAATAGTGTGTAAAACCGTTGCATTCCAGGTTTTTGAGGGATATCACCTATATACCATTTTTATTTGGGTTTGGACCCCAAGTAAATTTGATTCTTTATAATGACCTGAGTTATTAAGTTTTAAGGTGTAATACTCCCATTAAGTTTCCCTACAGAGATTAGATTATGTTTTAAATGTATAGTGTAATTTGAGAAACGGTAATTGAGGAAATTTAAATAACCAGTATTGGGTTTAAATCAGAAATGTGCCATATTGGTGTCTTTGTTATTTAATATATAATGTATTAACTTGTTATCTTTTATAAAATACGGGTGAGCAGAAGAATTAAGTATTATATCCTAATCACTTTGTAATATTTATAAAAAAAAATGATTGACGGACTTAAAATTTTTTTTTTAAAACAGGGGCAACATATCCCTCATGTGGCGATCCCCATTATCTATGTGTAAGTAAATTTTATCTCACTGAAGCTTTATAGAGAAGTAAGAAAAACTGTAGGTGCTTGCTTTAATTTTTTTCCTTGTTTCTGCTTTAAACATTGAATTTAAAGTATAATGTCGTCTAATTTTTCAAGATTATTGCTGTTATTCATATAATATGTCGTCACCTCATCTTTAAATAAGCCTCTGTAGTCTGGGGAGGGTCTGTGACATGGTTTTGGGCGCTGTTTTTTCGAATATTGTATATTGTGCTTGTATTTGAATAGCCAACTTAGCTACACCTTCCAAATCGTTAACATCTCTCAATTATTGAATAAAAACCTCAAACGTTATGAAAAGTAAAGTGTCTTATGTTGATAGCACTTAAAAATACTGGTTTTCACTTTAGAAGATAAGAGCAGAACTACAAAACTGAGTTGTATACATACCGTTACATATACGAAGAAAACATGCCAACTTCATGAGTCCCACTTTTTTTCTGGACTATAATTTATAACATCAACCGCCAGTAACGTGTTATAGGCATTATTAGTAACAAATATGATTTATTGCCCTATATGGCTATTAAAAAGATTGTAAAGGAGTTACCTAAAGGGTGATAACTTCGAATGGTAAAAAAAGAAATTTTAGCTGTAAATTTAATAACTATAGTTTAAAAGCATTCGACTTTTGGGTTATCAGTTGGTATACTGACAAAAGCGTTGTGACTTGTGTTACTTTAAGCACCAAAATTCTGTATATATGAGGCCCATGAAAAACAAAAATCTCCAAGAGAACTATTATAAAAGAAGTAGATAGAAAAAGACTGAACACAAATTTAGGGAAAAGTAAATTTTATTAGGGATATTAATGGCTTTTGTAACACTTTGATAGACATCGTCCCTTTTTACTTGGTAGTTTGTAATACAAACACACCAAAAACCGCTACAAGTTAATTTTTAAAAATTTTAGCCCTCAATTTTTTTTAATGGTTCGAAACGGTCGATCGGAAAACTTTTTTAGTCGGTTTGCTACTGTTGCTTTTTGTCGCAAGACTTTGATATATTAATAACATTGCGGAATAGTATTGACTATACTCTGATATATTTTAGAATTTTTGTTAATGGATTCACAAGGTAGAGAAAATAATCTTAACGATTCAAGTTACATTCAGAGATATTGTAGCGAAGGCAATGAAATAAACCCGACTTTACAACAAAGTATTAAACAAACGCAAAGTCCCTCATTCCACAGCTTTAACAATGTTACTTCGAATAGAAATTATCAAAATAATGATTTTGGATCCCAACAGCATTTTAAACAAACTCATCTGCTACAAATTGATCATAAAAATCTACCTCCGATTCATTCTTTATCACACCCAGAAAAATTAGAGAGACAGCACTCATCTTCCACACTTTCTGGACGCTCTGAATTTTCAAGGCACTATGACTCAAATTTTGCTAGACCATTAGAGTCATCACTCCCTCCTAATAATATACCTAAAGTAAATCAGCAGAGCAATGTTTTACCACTTCAGTCACAAAATCCTCAAAAAATAATACATAACAACGCAACGCAGGATACTCCCAATTTAGCGCCGAACATACTTCAGAATTCAGATTCTCGATATCAATTAACCCGAAATGATTATTATTCCGGCCCTTCTCCCCAATCACCTCCTTTTCCCGCTACAACAGTATCGGCAATCCAGAATGCTCAGCAAAACAGCTCTGGATTCTCTTCTGAAGCACTTGTCCATCTCAGACCAAAGACTAGTGATAGCGGATGGAACGATCCACCGCCTGAACTTTTTGTTAAAGATATTAGTCGAAAACCTAATCCTCGACGTCGGCAGAATGTAGATATTTATAATCTTCCCAGTAGCACTAACTTCTTACAGTCTCATACGGTCTCTCCTTATTCATCTACTGGGCAATCTATAAATTCGTCTACTTACGGTTTCTCAGTCTCTAATTATCCCTTACTGACGCAGCAGCAGCAAACTCATATGCAGCCAGTCTTTCACCATTCTAACGGAGAACAAGCTTCTTACGTTTATCCCACTCGGCCTAATATTCCGTCTTCTTCCGTTCAAAATGCTTTATACTCTACATCTAATCTCCCTCAGTAACTTTCCAACACTCAAACTGACGATACTGATTGGGGTTTACCAAATAATATTTAAGGGATTGATAAACAAAACTGTACGAATAACCTTTTTTATATTTATTTTTATATAGATTGTTCTCTTGCATTATATTTTAGGTAGTTATTACAATTTAACTAATAAACTTTAAATTCTTGTTTCTCTTCGCCATGTGAAAGTTCAAGTATCATTAAAAGTAAAACACACTATTCCCCCGCTTGTCTCCTAGTTTATCAAATTAAATGTTAGCACTTTTTATTTAATAATTTGATAGATGCTAGATTTTTTTTAATTATTAAATGCAAAATATCTTTCGCTTTATACTTTTCTATACCTTAAATTTAAGAGTTCCTACGAGTTATTGATTCATAATGGAATTTGTTCATCGAAGGCTTTAGTAATATTATAAACAAGTGATGGAAATTGTTTTAGTGGCCTCCATTAGTTAATATACAGATGCTTGCGTTGGAACCAGTTTTGTTAAAAAGTCCTAGCTTTTATTAAAATTAAGTTTTATAAGTAATTATCTTATATGCTTAGTAAATAAAGTTCCTTTTTAATTTAGTAGAGTAAAATAGTGCTCTATAAGGCTCGCTAATCTTTATAATATAATAGCAAAGATAAGAAGAGCTCATACAGCAGGAGAACAAGAATCTATTACTTAAGTCAGGTCTTATTATGTAGTAAAATAGTATTTTTCTAAAGACTAAGAAAAATATGTATACGAATTTTATAAAACTTCGGACTAAGTAAATAAACAGCTTGCTTTCTACTTAAGAGGAACTCGTTATTTGGCTCAAAGTGTTATAACTGTGTAACTTAGCGTGAAAGCGGAGGATAGTTAGTATAACATACTTTTTAAAGCTTACGCAGCCTTTAAACTTTTTAAAAGAACTACTAAATGTTAGTCTTATATACTTATACTATGTAAAGTTTTACTGAAAAGCAGATTAGTTCAACTTACTTTTTGCGCTTATTAAATGTTAAAGGATATTATATAAAAACGCAAGATACAAAATTTACTTAGCCCATAATATGTTTCGAGGAAACGCCCCCAAAAATAAGTTTTTTAGTAATAAAATATTAGTTTGATAAAGAATATTCCATAGCTTAATATTAGTAGAACCGGCATTATGAAGAGCGTGTTTACTAGACAACAAATTATTAAATATAACTGAAGAGTGGCCCTTGAATGATTTGCAATAATTTTTTTAGTGATTTTTACTAATTCTATTGGATATTTAACCTCACTCTCCTTTTTGAGGTGCAGAGAAAGTATGGGAAGTGGAGAAATAGTAATTATTTTCTAGTACTCCGACTTCCCTGTACTCTTGTAGTGAACTCTCTCAAAGTTTATGTTATAGCCAAAATTTATGGACGCTTCGAAGCTTTCTTTTGAGGAAGCTAACCTTCTCAGGGAAAGCTTAATTCAAGGTGCTTTGATTAAAATTTGCTAATAGTTTAACGCTGTTACACTAGCTATGACCTTTTTTAAAATAAAAAAAATAAGGCTCTGTGCTTCACCGTAAAACTGAGCTAATGGCTCTTATAGAAGCAGCAAAAGATGGGCCGGTTAAAACTCAACTCCTTATAGAGCTTAAAAAGCTTATGTTACTCCGTTATCAAAGTCAAGTACGTTTAGTATTATAAAATTATAGATGATTGTATTAAAAGTATATATTTGTTACTAACCGATGCACAGTTAAGGAGCGATATACTTCATGATTATCGAAAGAGAACAGTTTTATTCTCTTGTTTAAATCCTTACGAATATCGTGTGATTGATAGAAACTTTTCTTTTAGTTTTCAACGTACAAAGTTACTGGAGGAGGCAAACAGAAGATATTTGGTAATGAACATTAATTGGCCCTAAATTAGAATCATAATAGGTTTATTTATAAGCTCCAAAAAGAAAGAGCAAAAAAAACGGATTACTTTTTAAAACTATTTAATCACTATAGCAAGTTTAAATCTTTCCATAAATCGGTAACGTAAAAACTTTTTGCATGAATATTCTCTACGAAATTTAATTAATTATAGATTCAACAAAAAAAAGAAAATTTAGAAAAAGAAGTTTTTAAAAAGCATCAGCAAATTATTGCATTGAAAAAACAACAAGAAGAAATAATGGAACGTGAGCGCATGCGGTTGTTATTAGAAGACAACGAAGAAGCCTATAGAGCTCTCCTGAAAGAAAAAAAAGATAATCGTTTGGAGTATCTTTTGACTCGAACAGATAATTATGTATGCTTTTGTTCAAATTTTATTATAATAAATTTACACTGGCAAAAATTTATTTTGATTATTTTGAAAATTTTTATTATCGTTACTAAGAATAATTTTATTATTAATATATAATTTATAATTGTTATATTTTAGTTTGTTAATGGAAAAGTATTACTTTTATCCTATATTTTTTTAGATCAATGAATTTAAACGTCTTGTTCTTCAAAGAAATAAAATTTTCAAAAATGAGCGATTTGCATTAGAGGAAGGAGACCCTGGAGCTGTCCACGTGGATGGACACATGGAGTTTGATGCTGAAGATGAAAAAAAAAGTTATTATTTTATTGCACATGCGTTGGGTGAGTCCTAATTCTTTAAACTCTTTCGGCTTTTTTATTTTTACCTTTTTTTTTAGGCTTATAAACTCATATATATTAATAGTTTTATAATTTTTAGAGTAAAGTGTAAAGGATTATTATTTATTATATTGCATAGCATAATTTATTTACTTGTAAAAAAGTTATTATTCGTATAAAGGAAGTCGCCATGGCGCAGCCCACCGATTATAAAGATTTTTTATGCTCGTTTTTTCACGCATGACGCAGTAAAAATGTGTTTAGTTATACGGATGCAGCTATTGATTATCCCGTACCTAATGTATTTTACTTGCACGCTTTCTGGTCGGTCTTGGTTCAATCTTGTTAATAAATACGTAACATTTAGGTAGAATTATTGAATGGCTATTTGGTACCTAATGCATAAAAATTGTCTATTAGCAGTTTTAATGTATCGCTAAAAAAAAAAAGGATAAAAGCAACGTTTTGTTATTAAATACAATTTGCCCATTTGTATATAAACTGCACACTTTTTAAGACCAGTCCTATTTACTCGCGAGAATGCGAAAAGTTAAGATTAAGGTTGCTATTACTGATTATTCCATGCCTATATAAATATATATATAAATTGGGCACTTTCATACAAAAAAACAGTTGGTCGTCATTATTGCACGCCTTTGAAGTTTATATCACCACTTTTAGAGAAGTTTTTTTTTATAAATATTTCACTGACTTTATTTGCATTTATTATTCCTTTTTATAAAATAATAAAAATAATTTTTTAATATTACTATTATATAATTATTATTATATATTATATTTTAAGGAGAAGTGATAGACAAGCAACCAAGCATGCTTACGGGAGGCCGTCTAAAGCCTTACCAAATGCAAGGCACTTTTTTTATTATATTCTATTTTTTCAGATTTCTAATTTTTTAGTACATGAGCTCATTATATAGTTATGTACAGATTTTTTTATGACTATAATTGTTTTTATTTTATTTTATAACCAATTTTGTAAATGTACTCTAATTTATTATTATAAGTAATATAAATTTAAAAATATCTTTTGTTTACTCCAACTTTATTTGTCGTGCTGGCATATAAAAATATTATTATTCTGCTTATACATATATATATTATATATTCTAATTTGCTTATTTTTAGTCATTTATATATCTTTTGTTATATTTTGTTTATTATTTTTCCTGTATAATAAAATTTATTAAAATTATCTATTCTTTTCTGTATGTGTTTACTTTTTGTTATAGAAATTTTTTTTAGGTATATATTATTTGTTTGCTATTATAAATTTTTTTATTCCAGGTTTAGAGTGGCTTGTTTCCATATTTAACAATAACTTAAACGGAGTTCTTGCAGATGAAATGGGTTTATTATTATATTAAAAATATTTATTATAATTATTATTACTATTGTCAGTTTATTAAAAGTTTTATAAAAAATTTAACTAATAATAGTTTATTATATACAAAAATAAAACACACACAAACTTGGCTAAACCTCTTTTTCAGCGAATAGCAGACTGTTTTTAAATACAACTACCAATTGCTTCGTCTCATTTTAGTTTCGACATAAATAATCTTGATTGTAGTTATTTATTTATTTTTATATTATTATTCCCTTTTTTTTTAAGGTTTAGGCAAAACAATACAAAGTATTGCGCTAATTTGTTATCTCGTGGAGCATAAAAAGTTTAACTATCCCTTTCTCATTTTGGTTCCTTTATCGTAAGTTGTATTATTTTTATTACTATTATTATTTTATATATTACTGTTATTAATAGTATTATTATTATTAAAGAACGCTCACCAATTGGAGTTTAGAGTTTCAAAAATGGTCGCCCACTTTGAGAATTTTAAGGTTTTTATTACTATATTTATTTATTAACCAATATTTTTATTTTTTTTTATTAATGTATTATTTTTATTGTATATATTTAGATATAAAGGAAACAAATCTGAAAGAATAAAATTAAGGGAAAAACGTATTCTTTATATGTTTATATTATAATTATTATTACGATTATTTATATATTATTAGTAATCTTTTTGTAAAAAATATATATTTTTAATTTTTTTCTAGTAAAAGAAGGAAACTTTGATGTTTGCTTGACGACGTACGAAATGTGTATAAACAAAGAAGATAAATCGACTCTCTCGAAAGTTCCTTTTCGTTATCTTATAATTGATGAAGGCACTTTCATTATATATTTTGTTATTGCGAAATTTTTTTATGAAAAGGTTTTTGTTAAGTTTTTATAATTATTATTATTTACATTTCGTAAGTTTTATTATTAGTTATTTGATTAATACTATCAGAATTTTGATTTATATTTTGTAAGTTTTCTTTATTATTATTTACGTGTAGAGTTTTTATTTTTTTATTTTTTGTAAATTTTCATAATTATTACTTTTTATATTAACTTTGTTTTTTTTGTAAGTCTTCATTATAGTTTATATTTTTTTAACTTTTATTATCTCTATTGTAATATGTTTACTATGAAAAGTTTATATAGTAAAGTTTATTGTATTTTCTATGAACTTTGCAATTTATTATTATTGTTAGAATTATATTTATTTATTTTTATTATTAATATAAATGAATATTTTATTTTATTCTTATTGTTATTATTAAGTTTATTATAATTATTATTGGTTTTTCATGAGAGTTTTATAGTTTACTAAAATTTAAAGTTTATTATTGTTATTATTTTTTTTATGATGAAAATATTAATGTATTTATTATAAAGATTTTAAAATATAATAATATTAAATATTCTTAAAAATTTTACTTAAAAAAAGTATTACTTTATATGTAAAAGGAATTTTATAAAAATATTATGAATGTTGTGAAGTTTATTTTGTATTATAATGAAAAGTATATATTACTGTTTTTTTTTTTATTTTAATAAATATTAAGTTCCTTATTAATATTTTTTAACCTTATTTTTCTTTACGTATATATTTAGACATTTATTATGTTACTTAAACTTTTCTACAAAGAGATAAAAGTTCGTTTTTATATTTCTATAAAAATAATTATTATTAAATAGTTTATGGGTTTTTTAAAATATCAACATTAAACGTTTATTGATTAATTTTATATATAAACATAAAACTTCATTACTATAAAGTTTACAAGTACAATATATAAAAAGTTTTAATTTTTTATTTAGGTAGAGATAATTATTATTATATTGATATTATATATTCAATATTCTTTTAAATATGATTATTATAATAAGATTTATATTCTTATATAGTCTATAAGTTTAGTTATATAAATATTAAATTGAAGTTATTGTTTTTACTGCATTTACTATTTTTCAGGGCATCGTTTGAAGAATGCCGATTCCAAACTCGCGACTACGCTTAAAAATGATTATAAAAGTTTCTATTATTATTATTACTTATTTATTTTTTCTGCTTTATTATTATTATTTTATATTATTATCGCTATATATCATATAAAAGTTTATATTATTATTTACTTTTTTACTCTATTATTATTTCAGATTATTATTCTTATGTATATATTTTGTATATTTTTATAAAATTATATATAATAGTTTATTATAATATGTTATTTGAAGTTATCATAAATATATTTTGTATAAAATATTTTATATTGTGTACTTTATTATTATATTATAATTTGTCTAGCTTATTCCTGTTATTTTTATTGTTATTATTTATATTTGGTATTTTTTTTATGTAAATATATAATAATAGTGTATGTATTTTTATCTCTTATTATTTTTATTTAGTTTGGCTTCTATGTATTATTATTGTTGTAAATATCTTATTTTTTTTATTTTTATATAAAAATATTATATTATTAGTTTAATATATTATAAGCTTCTATTAACATTATTATCAATAATATATTAACATTATATTATATAATTCATCTTGTTTAGTTTATATTTGTTTACTTTAAATATATTGTATATATAATAATATTATTGGGATTATTAATATTTTTATATATTAGATATTATTCTTTATTACTATTTAGCAAATATATTTATATACTCCTCATTTTATATATTTTTATTAGTCTTTAACGTTAACTTGACTGTTTTATATAAAATTTACATATAATTATTTATTGGAGTACATTATTTATTATATATATATTTTTTATTCTGTATACTTTTTCATGTTTTTATTATTTTTTAATATATTAGAATTAATATTTTTGAGTATATTTTCTATATAATTTCTATTATTTATTATATTCTTTATTATGTTTACTTTTCTATTTCTTTTTAATTTCTTTATCAGAAATATAAATATTTTTAATTATAATTTATATATAAATTTTAATAGTTTTGATATTTTATATTTTCTATAATTTTTAAATTATATTTGGGATACTTTAATTCTTATTAAATATATATATATAAGTTTTGTTATTTATTATCCTCTATTATTTTTAAAAGTATATTATTAAATAGTTTTTATTTTGTATAACTTTATTTTTGATACTATTTTATTTATTGATTTCTGTTGTATATTTATTTATTATATTTATATAATATTATTATTGTATACTTTTATAACAGTTCTTTATTATTATATTTATCATTATTTTTAATTCTTATAAATATTTTTAAATTTATTAAACCATTTACTTTTATTTTTTAATATTATTGTATTATTTTGATTACTATAAATCTACCTATTTATATCTGTACATTTACGAAAGTTAATAGTCGAATATATCTTTTCAGTGCTTTTATTATATTTATAAGTAAAGAGTTTATATTATTCACTTTATTATATTTTCAGTAATTTTATTATTGTTAATATTATTATATATATATATATAAAAAGTTCATCATCGCCTTTTACTGACTGGAACGCCCCTTCAGAATAATTTACCCGAACTTTGGGGGTAATGTTTTTTGATTGGCTCTTAAAGTTCGTTATAATTCGAAACTTTTTATTTATGAGTCTCATTTTCGCAGATTAATGAACTTTTTGCTTCCGGATATTTTCAAGAGTTGCGATACGTTTGAGGATTGGTTCAATCGTCCATTCCAGTCTCTCGGTTACTTTTTTTCATACTTGTTGAATTGGTTTTCATTTTTTTTTTATTTTCATAATTTTTTAGTGTAATAAAATTTTATTTTATATATTCTTTATTAATTTTTTTGTATTTATTATTATAATTTATATATTTTATTTTTATTACAATCTTCTTGTATTAAAAAATATCTATTTTTAATTTTACTGGTTTTTTTATAAAAATATTTTATTTTATCTTTTTACTTTTAGTACAATTTTTATGTATTGAAAAATATTTTATTATATGTATTTATTATTATTATCTCGTTTTTCTTCTTTTAAAAATATTCTATTCTATTTATTTTTTCTTGTTTTCTTTTTATTACGATTTTGTATGTATATTAAAATATTTTATTTTAAATTTTTATTATTAAGAAATATATTATACTTATTTTATATTTTTATTATTATCACAATTTTTATATCAAACATATTTATTCATTATATTTTTTATTTTTTATCACAATTTTTTTGTTATAGATCTTCATTTTTATTTTATTTTAATCAAAAATTAATTTGTATATTAAAATATTTTATTTTAATTTTTTTAATTCACTATTTTATTATATTTTTTTGACTTTTTTTTAATTTTGTTTGTATTATAAATTTTTTTATATATTTTATTTTTTATCACAATTTTACGTTATTAAGAAATTATTTTATATTATTTTTAAATTTCTTGATTAGAAAAAATATATATCGTATATAATCTATTTTTATTACAATTTTTATTAAATAGTATTTTTATTATATTTAAAAATTTTATTGTTATCACAATTTTTTCGAACTATTTTTATCATAAAAGTATTTATTACATATTTTTTATAAAAAAGGAGAAAAAACAGAACTAAGCAAGGAAGAAACAATGCTTGTTATAAGAGGACTACACAAAGTCCTTCGGTTTTGAATGATTTTATCTTATTTTTGTAAATAATATTAATTTTTCTTATGTACTATTATGAATTTTTATTTATTATATTTATTGTATTGTATATTTTACTTATTGATATCTATTATGTTTTATTATTATTATATTTATAGTGTATATATATTTATTTATTTATAATTACTATTTTATTAAATATTTATATATTTTGTTTTTTCATGTTTATTTTATTTATAATATATACTTATTTATTATTGTTATTTTATTATTATTTATATTGATTTCGTTTTATATATATTTATTGTATTCATATTATTTACTTACTTACAAATATTATTTACTTTTAATAAGCTTTACACCTTTTTATATTTTTTTTTACTATTAAAAAGTTATTATTTTATTATAATTATAATACAAAATTTTCATTTTCGATTATTATTTATTTATTATTTCCACATTTTGGTATAAATATTATATTTTAAAACGAAATAAAAGTTACTTTTATATTTTATTATTAATATTATTTTTTTGCTAAATTTTTTTTTATTACATTTAATACATATTTTTACTTTATTATGATTCTCTTATTTATTTTTTTTAATTTTTTATTACTTTTAGTTTTCTTTGTTATATATATCATTATTATAATATTTTTGGTGTCATTACTTATAAATTTTATATATTTACACTTTTTACTAACTTTTTATATAATTATAATATTTTTATTTATTATGTTTTATAGACTTTTCTTTACTTTTTATAATACTTATACACTTCTATTTTTAATTTTTTTTTGTATTTGAATTTTTTTCATAATTTTTTTTCTCTTCGTAGTCCTTTTATTCTTCGACGAATGAAAAGCGAAGTTTTATTGCAACTTCCCCAGAAGACCACTCATATTTTAAAGATACAAATGTCTCCTTTACAGAAGCAAATTTATTCGCAGATAAAGCAGCGAATCCTCGTGACGGGCTCTGCTTTTAAAGTTTTAAAAGATTATTTTTTATTATAGAAAGTTTTAATAACAAATGAAGATTTACTAATTTTTTGTATTTTTATTTATTATTTTAGTTTTTATTACTCTTTTTTTTAAATCCTCATATTTTTTACTTATTAATAATTTTTTAAGTTTTCATCTTTTTCATAGTAATACGTGGTTGCCTCTTTACTTAGGAGTTTTCGGATTTTTTTTATTTTTTTTTGGAGAATTTTATATTTTCAGTATGATTCTTTATAATTACATATAAATATTGTCATATATTTACTTATTGTTATATATATATATATTTTCTAGCTTATATATATTTGAAAATTTATCTTTTCTATAACAATAATACTTTGCGGTTTTTTTTTTTTCAAAATTATTATATCATTTTAGTATTATTCTTTATTATGTTCTTATAATATTATAGATTTTACTTATTATTATATATATATTTATTTCTTATTTATTATAATTTTGTTTCTCTTTGTATAATTATATTTTCGTATTATTTTATTATCTACTATTATTGTTAATATTTTGAAAAATGTTATATATATTTTATTATTAGTATTGTATATATTTATAATTTTTTGTTTTTTTACAATTGAATATTTATATTTTATATAAAAAAATACTTTTTTTATTTATAATTTCTTTATTTATTAATTATTCATTATTACTATTTTTTTATTAGTATTTTTTTATAAATTATTGCTTTTTTTTTTTGTAATTGAATTTATATATTTATTATCATTATTACTTTTTTTTTTATAATTATACAAGATTGGTTTTTACAAGTTTTTTAAAATTATAAATTATTGAAGTTTATTTTATATTTTAATTTTATTTATTATTTTTTATCGTTTATTATAAATATTTACTTTTTTTTTTTCTTATTTTATTGTATTCTACTTTTATTATTTATTATAATATGTTATAATTCCATATTGATGACTGTCGTAAACTTTTTATTTGTTATTATACATATAAGTTGCTTACTTATTATTACTTTGTTTATTCTTTCTATATTTACATGATTAATATTTTTTATATATACATTTCTGATTATTATCATTTATTTATACTTTTTATTTACTTTTTATTTAGTTTTAATATTATACTTTTTAACTCTACTTTTCTTCATTATTAAATACTTTATAATTATTTTATTTAACTATTTATTACTTTTTGTTATATTCTTATTAGCTGTTTAACTTTTCATTATTTTTTTTTATTATTATTTTTTTTGTTTAGTATTTTCCTTATTTATATATATTACTAGTGATTATTTCACATTAAATAATTTTTCTAAGGCGAAGGCCAGATTCCTCAACAACACGATGGTGCAACTGCGAAAAGTTTGCAATCATCCGTTTTTATTCGAGGAGGTCGAAGTAAAACCTTCATTATTAGCTGATTTTGCATTATCGGATGTTGTCATTCTTCTAAAAGAGTCACGTGAATCCTTCTAAACAGACCAATGATTTTATTTATAAAGTATCGGCGAAGTTTGAACTGTTGGATAGAATTTTTGCAAAAGTATTTAGTTTTCTTAATGATTATAATAAGTAATAAATAAAATATAAGAAATAATAAAGGAAATAAAAATTTTTAGCAAATATTTATATATAATAACTTTTTGTACTTATTTTTTCTTTCACTATTTTTAATGCAGATGAGGGCGACTGGCCATCGAGTGCTATTATTTTCACAAATGACGTCATTATTAACTTTGCTAGAGGACTTCATGTTTTATAGGGGTTTATTTTTTCTTCTAAATTTTTTATGATAGATTTTTCGTTACTAGTATAAAAGGGTACAAATATATACGCTTGGACGGCCAGACAACCTCTCAGGAACGCGGTGATTTGTTGGATATCTTTAACCGCGAGGTTTATGTATATCATTTTTTGGCGTATCCTTCATTATTTTCTTTTCCATCATCAGAATAGCGATTATCTTGTCTTCATATTAAGCACTCGAGCCGGCGGGCTCGGTTTGAACCTGCAGGCCGCCGACACCGTCATCATCTTTGACTGTGATTGGAACCCTCATCAGGACATGCAGGCGGAGGTACAGGCGCAGAGCCTTCCGGATGGATGGAATCTTTTGTTTATTGGCTGACTGTAGGACAGGGCTCACCGAATTGGCCAGAAGCGAGAGGTCCGCGTCCTAAAGTTTGTGACAACCAATTCGATTGAGGAATATATTCTTGATACGGCCACGAGGAAGCTTAATATGGACGCTAAAGTGATCCAGGTATTATTCCCTTTTATTTGATTGGTGTTAAGTTTATTCGATTTTTGATTGGTAAAAACTTTGAAGGCCGGACGTTTCGACCAGAAAACCAGCGCAGACGAACGGCGGAAAATGCTGGAAATCATGCTAAAGGAAGAAGAAGTTTTTATCTATTTTTTTAATGAATAGTTTATATCTTTTTTTGCATGTATTTATATATAAATTAATTTTTTTTCCTTTTTTTGTCTACTACAAATTTACAAAATGTTATTATTATTTTATATTACTATCCACTTTTTAAATTATTATTTCTATTTATTTCTTTTACGAAACTGGTCTTTTTTATATTTTTTAATAGAAATCTTTAATAGTTATTATCATTACTATTATTATTTTACAAGGAACAAGAAGACTTGAAAGACAACAGCGCTCATTCACTGGAAGAAGTTAACGAGATGCTCGCAAGAACCGAAGAAGAAATGAAAATTTTTGAAGAAATTGATAGAAAGTTAATAATGGAAGCCGGAGGAGTTTCTTATTATTATTATTATTATTATTATTATTATTATTATTATAGAAATTTATTTAAAAAATAAATATATAAAATATTAAAAAAATTATAGAAATAATATTATTCACAGTCAACAACTAAAATTTTTTATAAAACAAAATTTAATATTACCACTATTATTATTATTTCATAAAAAAAATATAAAATTTAGATAAAAACTTTATTAAACATTAGTTAATATATAACGATATAATAATATTAAATATACTTTAAAGTTTATTACTATTATTATTTTATTGTAAATATAAAATTTTAATAAAAACTATTTAAATTATATATAGGAAATATATTATATGAAAAGTAAATATAATTTTTTACTATTATTATTATAATTATTATGAATCCTTATTATTGTTATTATTAATTTTTATTAGTCTTTTGAAAACCGTTTAATACTTCCTAGCGAAATACCGAAAATTTATGAAGATACTTTTCTTAGTTTTCTTCAAGCACAGGAGATGGAGGTGGTCTCTGGTAATTAACATAAATATATTTTTTATTACTGCCATTATTATTAATTTTTTATAAAATAAGAAAATCTTGGTCGCGGGCGCAGAGAAAAAGCTCTTCATTATAATAATAATTATTTTGCGGAAGCAGACTTTGACCGAGCAAGTTTATTATTATAATTATTATTATGATAAATAAATTATTATCTTTAAAGTCCGCAAAACCGAATGAAGTTTACAGTAAAGATAGAAATTCTCGGCAGCTCTCTTTTTCTGCTCCGCGCAATCGTGATTTTATTGAACAAAAAATAAAAAAATTTGTATTATTATTATTATTATTATTATCATTATTATTAATATCATCATCATCTTCATCTTCATCATCATCATTATAGAAATCTGAAACAACGTCAATGGCAAGTCACGTGGTTCCTAATAGCTTGAAACGAACGTTCCGGAAAATCTTTAAATCCATTAAAAACTTGAAAGTGTAACTGCTATTATTTTTATTTTAAATTTTTATGTTTTATTATAATTACTACTTTTTAAAACTAATAATTTTTTTTAATTTTTGAAAAGTAATAGAGAAATTTCTCAGACATATTTTATAGAAATATTATTATAAGTAATATTATAATAATAATAATAATATTAAGTAAATGTTTAATAAAGCGATATAGGAAACTTTTAAATTATCATAAAAAATGTTCTTCTTTCGAATGTTTTTAAAAAAAATTAAAATTAAATATATTTAAGAAAACTTTTATTATCTACTCTATAGTTTTATTTTTTTAATGCTTTAATACAATTTTATAACTTTTCTTTTTCTATTTATATATATACTATTATTAATTTATTAACTTTCTATAAAAAGTGTGTTATTATCGTATATTTTGCATTTTTATAAGTTTTTTAATAATCTTTATACTTTCGCGTTTTTTATTAAATTTATAAAGAGTCTATTATTATTGTTTACTTTGCAGTTTTATAGTTTTATTAATATTATAATTTTTTTAAAACTTTTTGGTTTTTAGTAACTTAATATTTTTAGTTGTATTCTGCTTTAGTAGATTTTTATAGCTTTTTTCTTTAACTCTTTTAATTTTATAATATATATTAATATTTTATTAACTTTTTACTAAATATGTATCGTTATTACATACTTTGCAGTTTTATATGTTCTTTTATAATTATTATTTTTTATAACTTTTTTATTTTTCAGTAGTTTTCTTGCTTTAATAGATTTACAAAACTTTTCACTTTTGCTATTATTATACTTTTAATTTATTTTTATTGTATATTTTCTTTTGATATTATACAATTTTTATTTAATTTTTTTTTTTTAAATATTAATAATTTGTTTTAATTGATCGTTAAACTTTTACTTACTAATACTATTTTTATTATTATTATTTCTTTTATACTTATTATTATTCTTTACTTTCTTAATATGTTAGCTTTTCACTATTTTTATTTTTATACTTTTTTGTTTTGTTATTTTTGTTTTCATTATTTTTTTTTAATATTAACTTTTCTAGTGACAATCGACTTGTTTGTGGTCTATTTCTTCATCTTCCCAAGCCAACAGAATATCCCGATTATTATTTTGTTATTGAGCGTTTGATGGACTTGAAAACTATAAAAGTTATTTTATTATTATATTAAAAGTTATAACTTTTACTTATTAAAGCTATTAAAATTTTTTGAGGGCTAGAAAAATATATATTTGCAGATTTCTTTATTCATTATTATTATTATTATTTTAAATAGTTCTGTTTTATTATTATTGATACTAAAATATATATAAATATAGTTTTTATATCATTATTATTATAATTGAATAGATTTACAGTATTTGTGTTATTGTTTATAAATAAAATTTATATATTTATATTATAATCTTTATATTCAAAAAAATTTTGTTTCTTAATTATTATTAGATTTTTTATAAAAAATAACGTTTTTTTTATATTTTACTTAACTTTTATTATATTTTTATATAAATAAAGTTTTTGTATTATTATTATTATATTTTTATTTTAAAAACTTTTTTTTAATTTTAATTATTATTTTATATGAATAAAATTTTTCTATTATTACTACTAACTTCAATTTACTTCTAATTGAAGTTTATTATTTTATTATATTCGTATAATTATTAATTATTATATTTTAAAGTATAAGATTTTTTATTTCTATTATTTTATATATTTTAAATATTTTTAAAAATTATATTATTGTTAATGAAAATTTTATATCTTCGATTGGTTTTATTGCTTTTATAAAAAAGTTTTACTTATTTATTTAGATTATTATTTTTAAAGAAACTTTTTCTATTATATCAATATGAATATTATTATTTAACAGAAAGTTTTGCTCATTTATTAAAACTATTAAAATTATTATTTATTGTTAAAAAATTTTCTTAAAAATAAAGTTTTGCAAATATATTATTATTTATATATATTTATAATATCCCTTTTATAAAAAAGTTACTTATTTATGAATATAATATTTATATATTATCAAATATAATAAGAAAGTTTTGTAATATATTAATATTATTAAGAATCGACTTCTTAATATTAAATATTTACTAGTAATTATATTATTTTATAATAAATAATTATAAGTATTTAAGTTTTATTGTTTAACGGATAAATAAATAAACTTTTAAAAAAAAAGTTTTGTATAACTAAATAATAATGAGATTAAAAATATATAATAATATTAAAATTTTTTGTTTCACATGAAAAATAAATAATAATAAAAAATAAAAGTTTCTATATACTATAAATATATTTAAAAATATTTTTATTACTTTTTTTCTATTAAATTTATTATTTATATTCACTTTTAGTTTTATATATTATTGTATTACATATTTATTTTTTACTTAATATTTTATCTATGAACTTTTTCTTATTTATTTTATTTTTACTAAATATTAATACTTGGAGGGTAAAGTTTTCTTATTGTTTTTGAAAAAAAAGTGTTGTTATTATTTCATAAAGTTTAATACATTTTTATATTCGTCATTTTATAAAAATTATAAATTTATTAATAAAGTTTCTTATCACTATATAATAAAATTATTTATTTTTTAATACTTTTTAATATCTTTTCTACAAGAAATAAGTTTCATTATTTTTTTAAGCATGTTGAGTACTTTTCTTAAATTTATATTATTATTTTTTTTACTTATTAAACTTTTTTTAAATTTTATATTATTATTTTTTATTTTTATTTTAATTATTTTATAGTATTTTTTTAAAAGTTTTACATTTTTAATATTCTTATTAAGCTTATTATTTTTTATTAATTATTTATTATATATTTTACTAATTGTGTTACTACATAATAATATTACTATAAATTTTTTTTACTTATTTATATATTATAATCTTTTTTTTCTTATTATATTATTAACTAAGAAAATTTTTATTTACATAATCTCTTTTTTGTCATTATTATTATGAAATAATATTCGAAGTACAAAAGTAAAATGTATATTTTTATTAATAATTATTATTAAGAAAAGAATTTTAATTTATATTATATTTAAGTTGTATAGTTTTTTTATTAATTATTATATTTCGTGAATTATTATTATTATATTTATTATTTGTCGCTTTATTATTATTGATAATAACTTTTTTATTTTTTTTTTAATATTTTGTACTGTTATATATATTTCTTTCTTTTTAATTACTATTCTTTCATTTTTAACAAAAGAAATCTTTTAGACCGTCTATATATCGAGGCAAAGCAGGAGTTTCTTTTTTTTTAATAATTAATTTTTTAAATATATTTATAATAATTATAAACTATTAAATTTTTTTCAAGTATATTTTTATTCATTTTTTTTTTACTTATTTCTTTTATACACAGTTATTTATGTATTTATTATGATTATTATTATTATTATCATTATTATTATATTATTATATAAAAGACTCGTATTGAAAATAATAAGTACAAGTCCTTAAAAGATTTTGAAAAAGATATTGAACTTCTTGTTTCTAACGCTCATCTATACAATTCTGATGATTCGCTTGTATATAATGACGCCACGCTTATATTGGTTATTATATTATTATTATTATTTATTATTATTATCATTATTATTATTATTATTATTATATAAAGAATAAATTTAGAGAATTAAAATCAGCGTTTGGGAAACGTCGAAAAGGAGGGAATGAAAATTCTTTTACTTCAGAAGAAAAAGTTGCCCTATTATTAATATTATTACTATTATTATTATCATTATATAAAGAGATTTAAAAAAAACGAAAATCAGTTTAAAAAAGAAGAACTTGGAATATAGTGAACTCTTAAAAATTAGTTTAATTATTATTATTTTTCATTATTACTTTTATTAAAGTTATAATTATAATTATTAGTGTTTCAAAATCTAAAGGAGGAAAAAAAATTTACTATAAGAAATTTTGTACAAGTTTACTGCTTTTTAAATAATAGTTTCGGTATTTAACTTTTTGAATTTAACTTCAAAAAGCGAAAAGTTTTTCTTTGAAAAGAATTTTTCAGTAAATTTTGAAAAAAAATGAAATAAATTTTATAAAACTGTTGCGAATCTCAAGAATTTTTATAATAATTTATCATTTTTTTATTTATTTATACCCAATCTGTTTATTATTATTATTATTGCTTTTATTATTTACTAAAGGTCATTCCCTTTTTTTACTCGAGATTTCTTTTAATTATTACTACTAATATAATTCCTTTTAATTAATTTTTTATCTTATTATAGTAATTCTGGTGCTTGCGTTTTTTTCTCTTTTTTTTTTCAACAGTGGTAATGCCATTCGAGCAAAGTAGTTTAAACTTAGTACTAATTAATTTTAACATATTTTGAATAATTTTGAAATTAATTTACTTTAATATTTCCAGCTAAAAGATTGGCGCTGCACAACTAGCTTTTAGTTGAAAATCTTGATCACGACTTTATTAGAAGTGTAGTTTGTTTATTAAATATTAAAATTTTTTCATTTTTCCTTTTATAAGCATTAACGAAAATTATAATTCTTTCAAAAGTAGGCTTCTACCATTAAATTTTGAATTAATTTTGGTAAACGAAATAATAATTTAGTAACTTAAAAAAATAATATGAAAACCATAACTGTCTACGATGATTTTGGATTTATTATATATTTAATGTGAAGCAGGTTTACGTTTTTAGATAATTAGGAAGAATAATTGAAATTTTCTTTATCTTGGAGTTTTTAAAAATGATGAGACAAAGAGAAAAGTATTAAGCATTCGTTATTTTTATAGGCATATAAATTTACTAAAAAGGCTTTTACTTTAAGATTTCTTATTTTAAATATATTGAATTTGCTATCTCCAAAATTTAAACCTTAAAAAGAGCCTATCGTAGGAATTCTATTTTCATCGAGCTTAAAAGTCAATTAAAATTGTTTTAAATAATAAAATTTACAATACATTTTAGCCAATAGTGTACCAGAGTAGAACTTTTTGTTCGGCTTTCTTTTGTGGTTAACAATCTTTATTTACTATCTTTTCGTATACTTTGCAGCCCAAAAGGATATTATAAACGTGTTTATTTACTACTATTCGCTGCTAGAAAAACGAAAAATGAACTGAAGTTGAAGAGGTGTAAAATGTCTAAGATCAATCGCATTTGGAGTATAAAAAACGATCAGCTTTTCATTATACCCCGCCCCGTGGAGCTAAAGCAAGCTGGAACATTTAATCCACAACTTTATAAAAAAGATTAATTTTGACTAAAACGTTGTTATCAGGGATCTTAACTTTTTAGACTTTCTTAGTTCGATAAGTTCATAAAAGCTATATCCGAAAAAGTTATTTACCTAAAATTAAGTGTGACCAAGCAGAATTATTATACTACCTCAAACTTCTGTGCATAAACCTTAACTTTATTGAAAATCTTTTAAAACTAAAATGTAATAAGTAATCAATATAAAAAGTATAAAAATGAAAACTTTTTTATTCTATTTTTATTATAAAAGAGTTGAGTTCGGCAAGAGCCTAAACAGTTCCAGAAGGAACCTTATAACGTTTTTCTAAAGCCGAGTAAAGTTGCTTGTGCTTTCCTTTATAAAGAGAAAGTATACGCTTCACATGTTTATCATTAGCTTTTTCTGGATTGTAAGCTCTAAAAAGATATAAAAAAAATCTCAACTTGAAACAGAAATTATTTATTTTCATTACTTGTAGAAGGCCATCACACGATTGTAAGGGCTTTTTGCTAAACCCAGATTAGCAGCAAGTTGAGAAGATAGGAAATAATCGTAAGCAACAAAAAGGTAAGGAATAGACCCTGAGAGAATTAAAACTAACAAAAAAATTGTAATAAACAATTTTTTTTTGTTGCTTTTCTTGGCTGAAGAGGCAGTTCCTAAGTTTTGAGAAATATATCATAAAGATGTACTTTAGTAAACTAATTATTGTATTAAATTTAATTTATTACTTTAACTTTAAAAAAATTGTAAAGAAAAAAAGGCGTTAGTACAGAGTAATATACAAAATTTAAAGCGAATACTTGTAAAAAATTACACCTTTTCTTTGATCTTCTTTCTTCAATTGTTTTCTTTTTCTGACAGACGACTTACTAGAGTTTTTACTGTCACCCTCACTATGATGCAAAGAGTCGCGTTCGCTACAAGAGTCCTCGGAATCCGACATCAGGGAAACAATGAAAGGCTCAAAGCTAACAAAAAAAAGGCCGGTGACCGCAATGCTACTTTAGTTTTAGAGGGTTTTATATAGAATGTCGCCGTGAGGTCAAAGAGCAAAACGCGCTGTCCCCTTGTTGGCGCCTTTAACTTTTGATGGCGTGAAGAGCACGTGGGTTTTTGAATGGAATAATTCGGAGCCAACGTCGATTACAAATGCCCATGGCGGTTGTATGCGTATTGCGTTGAATTAATACACATCTGTTGCTTGGGCGTATAACTCCAAGGCAATAGTGTTTGCACATTTAGCGCGACGCAGCAAGGTTTATGCAACATGAAGCTCCTTAACGAGACCTACATTTAGTTTCATTGAACGCCGTTTTCCATTGTAATGCCATTGCTCTTTCCGATGGGCTAGCCAGGCATAACAGTTATCTGTGGAGAGCGAGCTCATTTACCAGTCAAGGGACCGCGCACTTTATCGCCGTCCACCTGCTCCGCATAAAGCGCTAGTTTTGTTTCGAAAGTAATGCTCTACTCTCTTCTTAGGGAACGCGAACTAATTCAAAATATATTCGATAAATTCGAGAGAGCTCGAGTATTCGGAGTTGTTGGTTCGATCAAGCATCAGACAAAGTTGTTGATAAGTAAATATTATACTACAGGCCACCTGGACTAAGCTGAACTCCGTACTAAAACCAGACAATCCATAGCCGTTTTATTCCCTTCCTATAAAGAGAGAAAGCAACTTTATTAAAACAACTTCTTTTATACAACTTGGGAATAGCCCACTGACGGTTTAGGCCTGCCTCCAAAATCGCGGTATGAGAATGTTGGTTTGTGCGCAAAAGCCAACCACCTAGAGAGTGTAGTCTCGAGCTTATTCAAGAATATCTTTTTATAATATTTCAGAATACTGGTTTACTAGCGCCGGTAGCCCATCATAACAATTAACCGGCTCTTATTGATGACTCCCGTTAGTACACCAAGTACTTGCGGTCAAAACATCTTAAGACCTTTATAAGGGAAACAATGCTAAAAATATATTTTATTTTCTATTAACCTAATATATATATTAATAATATAACTGTACTGAAACTAAACAATTTTTTTTATTACTTGTAGTAATATTATTTTGCTATTACGTTTTATTAACAAACACTTTATTTAACTGTGATGATGAAGCGCATCCGTTTTAGTTGATGGCGTTGCGATTTTTTAAAAAATTGAAGCCTCCGCACCTGCGTAATGATAGAGAAAAGTTGATTAAGCAGCAACTGCTTAAAAATCACGCTCGCAATAAGCCAGTAATTAAATAAATAAAATAAAAGGCTATGGCTTTTTTCTACACTTTACTAAACTAAAGGTAGTAAACTTACACTAAAAAACAGGTTATTGTTAAATAAAACGACTATGATATGCCTCCCCCGTTTGAAGGGTACTCCTCTTATCAGTTTATTAGGAAACTTTGGCGTTATAAAAATAAGCAGTTAATATTACCAACTGCGTTGCACAACTGCCCAGAGAGTTTAAAGTTTAAACCATTAAAGAATCTATAGTAATTAGCTATAAAAAAAGAATTTTGGAAAAAGGGATTACAATAATTTAATTTCTCAGTTTCCTATGATCCTCTTGCGAAAAATACTTTGATAATAAGGAATTACCTAAAAATTCTCATTTTACTACGATCCTTTTTAATTCACTATATAATTAGTGCCTAAATTTGTCCTAACATAACGTAAAAGAATTGACTTGTTAATCTTAAACTGAAGCCGTGACTACACTTTATCGTAAACTGCTTTCTGTTATTTACTTAGAAAAAAATAAAAAATAAGAAATTATGTTACTACGCACTATCCTTTTACGTCGCTACTGCACATTATAGATATATTATATTTGAATATAATTTAAAGATTTTGTTAAAAAAATAGCTTTTTTTTAATAAAGGAAATAAGGTGCATTAATTTAGAATCAGCCTATATATAAATATTTTTTGACGTTTTTAACTATATTAAAGCTCTATACTAAAAGAGGTCAAAGCATTATTTGTCTTTAAGAATTTGTGTATTCGTTATATCGTTAAGTTTTACTTAAATTACCTTCCAAGGAATTAAATCTCATTTAAAAATTTTTTAATTTGAACCTAACAATTAATAAAAAATGTGGTTATTATTAGATATTAATTTAGCAACTATTTGATATGCTCCAACAAAGCTCTCAGCATTCCTTATAAAATCATTCAAATGTGTGCTTATCGAACTTACATAAAGATGATACCCTTTGCACTAAGAAAAGTTAATTAATAACTCAAAACATATCAACAAAAACCAAAGTAAAGCTAATCATTAATTTTTGTTACAGTTATATTAATCCAAACTATTTGCTTTGTAGCTCTGGACATCTCATATCCAGTTCCTTAGGATGAAAGACGATCACCACAAAAAGCCAATTCAAATAGAATAAATGTTTTTATAAGGTAATGCTTCAAGAAAAACTAAAAATCTTACTTCGATTGAGGGGATAACTTAAAATAAACCTAAAGTTATATACTCATAAGTCATGCTTAAGAAGTATTATTTTGGGTATTAAATTTTATAAACTTATCACTAAAAGTAAAATATTTTATTGAAACAAAAAGATGGTCTACTTATAAATTGTGTTCAACCAACTTATTACAGAACTTCACTACCCTGTTTTGTATTTTTTTTCTGGTCAATTGTCACGTGAAAGTCTTTACTATCTCAAAACGTTAAAGCTTGCATGTTTGTTACGTTACTATTAAAAGACTTACTTGTAACTATTATCAAATATTATGTCAGGAAATATTTTTAAAACCGTTAAAGATAAATTATAAATTTTTACTTTAGATTTTATTTAAAAATGTTTTCTTCTAAATTATGTGATCAAGATGACTTCATAGATCGCTATATAAAAGGAGAAATACCTCGTTACAAAAATCATTTAAATTTAGATGAAGAAAATATAGAAAAAGTTAATTTTATAGCTTATTTCTGTTATAAATTACAAGTTCCTGTAATTTTTTAATTTTGAAAATTCTTAAATCCTAATTTTTATGGGTTAAGGAATTAAATCGTTATCCAATTTTTATGACTGAGACTGCTACTGAGAAAGATTTTTCTAACTCAGAAGATTTGCCTGCTCTACAAATCCTTAAATACGAAAATAAAAGCAATGAAGGTTACTTTAATTAAAAAAATAAAGTGTATAGATTGGTCGAATTTCAAGTTATGTCTTTTATAATTTTTCAGTTTAAGAAAAACTCCAACTCTAGATTTTTTTTAAAACTTGTTATAATTATAAATATTTTGATTATTCTATAAATTTGTTTTTTAATATAGCTTTAATGGGTTTTATTGTAAAATTAATTCACTTTCATTAACTGATAAGTAAATTTTGTTTTTAAATTATAATTTTTTTGGAGGTTTCAAAGTTTAATTTCTTTTTAAGACAAAAATATTAAAAAAAATAAATTTTTTTTTTTACGTAATTTTTTTTATTTTACTTTTTTACTATAATATTAAAATTTCTTTTAAACGTCTAATTATCGAAAATTTTATTCAGTTAAATTTGTTTATTTAATATTTTTTTAATCCTTGATTATAGAATATTAGAACCTTCATTAGGATAATCAAGTTATAGTTTATATTAAAGTTAACCGTTCGGTTTCTTTATTCACCATTTTTTATGTTTAAATTTTAAATTTTTACATATTTTAATTTTCTCTATTGTTATTCCTAATCTCCTACGCGTAGTTCACTAGGATTAAACTATAGCGCTTGTTAGCAAAATAGGTTGAGAATGGATGAGTGATTCTTAACTTAGCCTGCGCTTGCACCAGAGCTTGAAGTTGCTTTGGTGGGCAGGACTTTCAAATAACATAAATAGAAACTTAAAGCGTGCCGACAATAGTTTAAATTCCATAATGGAAGGAAACCAAACTCCAAAAGTCTATGTATCCTGTCTACAGTCTCTTAATAGTTGGCTGCAATTTAGACAGAATCTTCTATTGGATATATTTGCGCACTTTTTTCCAACAGTTAAAAAGTTTTAAATTATTTCAAAGTTAAAAAATTAAATTTTGTAAAATGTAAATTTTTTTATACTATATTGATTTTAAGTCATATAAACTTTCTGTGGGAAGATATATCTAAAAATCTATTAAAAGTTTAAATTTTATTATTTTTTTTAGTAAAGTTTACAAAAAACAAAAATTAAAAAAGTAATTTGTGGAAATTTAATTTTTTATGTTTTATTTTTTACTAATAAACTTTAATTTATTAAAAATATATCTATATATAAATTTATACTTTTTATTTTTTATATCTAAATTATAATATTTCTCAGATAAATTATTTCACAGGATTTAATTTAATATTTTTATACAGAAATTGCTGAGTTTTTAAAAGACTCTGGAAATCTTGAGTATAAAAAAGGTTAAATTTTTTGTTGACTTTTAGTAGAAGTTATTGTTTTGAATTCAATTGCTAAATCAGGGAAAAAAACAGATTTGAAAAACGCGATTCGCTTGTACACCGAAGCTATAAAGCGTGGCCTTCAAGATGAGAAACTTCTTATTTCTTTATATAATAATAAGGCGTTGTGCAATTTTAAATTAAGTAACTTTATTATTTTAATTTTTTTAAATATTAAAGCTTTATTAATTTTATTATTCTGTTATAATTCAATTTAAAGACTTTTTATTTTTCATCGTTATTAATTGTTGCACATTTTCAGTTTAAGCAAATTATAAACTTTTAGAACCTGAATCTACTTAACGGTTTATTAAATGTATTGGAAAACATTTTTTTTAATAAAGAATGACAGACTTCTTGTTTTTCTTTAAAGATACCGTTGGACTTATTAAAAAAGTTACTGAATGTTATAAATCATTAAAAAATTACTAAAAGAGAGATTTCCTGTTTTTTTTATTCTAATAATTTTTCGTACATTATAAATTCATTTAATTTTACAAACTTTAGAAGTGAAAATTTATATGAAAGTTTTATTAAAGAATTGTTTTTCTCTTTATAAGTATCCTGTGTACTTTTATTTTTATTTTATTTTTTTTAATTTAATTTTATAGAAAAGTATCATAAATTATGAAATCTTGTTAATTTTAATTAAAAATTTTTGGTTTCTTATTTTAATTAACATCGTTGTATAATTTTAAACTAAATTTATTATAGAAGTTATTGAATTTACTATTTTTTTATAACTGAAAGCAAAATATCTATTTTTATGTTAAAAACAATAAAGCAGTCTTTTTATCAAATTTTAAACTTCTACTCTCTTTTATAATTATTTCATTAACTTTTTATATTTTATATAAATAAATGCAAATTAAATTTTTATAATAAAAAATTTAAATAGCAAAAGTTAATTAGTTTAATCAAATAATTTAAAATTTTTATAAATTATTTAATTATTTAATTTTAAATTCCTAATTTTATAAGTTTTTTTTATTTCTAATTATAATTTAAATTTTTTTTAATTTACTTTTATAGAATTTTTTATTCTAAATTATTATATTTTGGCATTTAAATGAAATTTTAATAACTTTTATAAGAGAGATCATAAAAGTTTAATAATCTTTTTTTAACGACTTCAATCTATAATACTATTTTTTTGTTACATAGTTTAAAAAAAAATGTTGTTAATAAATTTGCTAATATTTAGAATCAAGATAATTTTGTAACTTTTCTAAGAAGACTTTTAGATTTTTTTTAACTTTTGTATTTTCTTTTGAAGTTTACAAATTAATTATTATATTTTATTATTTTATTAAATTTATATTGTTTTTCTATTTTATATCGTTTTAGTAGATTTTAAAAGTTTGCTTACTTTTATTTATTTTGTCAGTCTGATGAAACTTTAAACTTAAACTTTTTTATTCTGTTTATTATTATTATTGAAATTTTCATATATTAGAAAATTTCGGAAAAACAATAGAAGATTGTGAGAAAGTTTTAAAAATTGATAAAAATAATCTAAAGGCGCTCTACCGGATTTCTTTAGGTTTTATATATTTATTTTACTAGTAAGTAATACATTAAAAAATCATATATATTAGTCAACCCTAATACCGTAATTTTTTTTATTGAATAATAAATTTGACTGTTTGTAATTATTGTTATTATTTACTATTATTTTACTAAAAGTAATATTTTCTAGCACTAGAAAAATTGAATCGTTTTAAGGAAGCATTAACTTTTTGTCAAAAAGGGCTCCATATGTTTCCTCATAATAAAGTTATGAATATTAAGTATATTTTATTAATAATTATAAATATTATTAATTATTATTAATATGTAATTATCTATAATAATTTATGTAAAAAAAATAAATAAATAATATTATATAAATTTATAAAAAAATTTTAACGCTTATGCATATTTTTTAATACTGGCATTATATATTTTTCTTATTAATGTTGTAAAATATTAAAAGAAATAATAAATATTAATATTTTTATATAATTTTATTAATTTTTTTAAATTTTACATTTATTATTATTTTTTTAGTATAAACTATAATTTATATAATTTTTTTAAATACAAGTATTATTAAATATTATTTAAAAGTTTATTAATATTAATTAATTTTTATTCAAATTTATATATATATATAATGTTTAAAGTTTGTAATCTTTATTACATACTAATAAGGAATATTATTATGTATATAAAGTTTATAATTATTAAATTCTATATAATCGTGCATATTATAAAATTTATATAAATATTAAATTTTCTTTTTTTTATTTCATATTAATAACGATTATTATTTATTATATAAAAAAGTGTATAATTATTAAAATCTTATATAAATATAAACATAAATATTAAAAAAAGTATTATTAATTATAAATTTAATAATAATAATAGTAAAATAATGTTATTATGCTTAAATTTTTATATAAATTTTTTTTCTATAATTATATAATTTTTCAGTAAATAAAGAAAATTTTTAAGTTTTTAAAGTAGATAATAAAATTTGTTTTAATATTTATTATTATTTACTATTATATAGTAATGTATAGTTATTAATATTTAAAAGTTAACTTTTCTTATATTATTATTATGTTTATTCTTAAATATTTTATAGAAGTTTGTAGTATAAAAGTAAATATATTTAAAAATAAAAATAGAAATTTTATTTCATATAAAAGTTATTATAAGTTTATCTTATTTTATAAAAAAATATATATGAAAAGTTGATATATAAAAGTTTTGTTATATAAAAAATGAATTTTTTTTATTAATTTTTTTTACTATTACTATTATTTTTTGCTAGAAAAGTAATAAAAGTTTTTTATAATAAATAAAAATTTTATTATTTGCACATAAGTTTTTTGGTTGTCATTTTTATTATTATGTAATATAAAAGTAAATAACACAAAAGATTTTTGTTTCTAATAATTATAATATATATTATTATTACTATAATGTTCTGAGCAATATAAGTATACATAATAAAGTTTTTTTTTGGTATTATCAGTATTATTAAAAGTTTTATACATATTATTATTATATAGTAAATAATCTAATAGTAGATATTAAAAGTTTTCAAGTATTTAAAAATTATAATAGAATTTATGAAGTTTTTCTTAATGATGTTATTATTATTATATTTTTCTGTTTCTATTATTACTTTATAATATTAAAAAAAAAGTAAACATAAGAAAGTCAGAAGTAAAAGTTCTTCTTGTTTGTATTCTATTCATATTATTATAATAAAAGTTTTTTGTTTTATTATTATTATTATGATTACTATATATTGTTAATAATAAAAGAGTAAAACAAGAGTATAAAATAAAAAATAAACAGAATTTTTTTTTAATAATTTTATTAATATTTCCATTTTAAAAATAGTTAGAAGCCAGCTTCACGTGCAACTAATAGAGAGCACGTGAACTTATATACACTAAAATCTTGATTACTTTTTTGCCTCCTCCCATCGTTTCAACGGTTTTATTGTTTATTTGTTCAATAATTTTATTATTGTTAAAGTAATAAAATACAAATAAAAGTTTGTCTTATTTTTTTTATATATATAAAAAAGTTTTTAACTTTTTAGTTAATAAATGTATAAAGAATTTATAAAGTTAAAAGAAAAAATGTTTTAACGATAAAAAGAAAATTAATGAAATAGAAGTTTTAACATTATTTGTATAATTTAGTTGTCTTAAAAAAAAGTATAATTGTTTCTATAAAGTTACTATAAAAGTATTATAGTTCGTATTAAATACATATGTTCTTATAAAGTTATTAAAAAGTAAGCTTTTATTTGTTTATTTTCATAGTTTCTTAGTAAAGTAAACCTTTTACTATTAATTTATTATAAAAGGATAATAGTTCGTGTTAAAAAATATATTATTTATTAAAAAGTTTTAAGAAAATAAGCTTTTGTTATATATTCGTATAGTTTTCTTCTGAAAGTATACTTTTTTACTAAAAAGTTATTTTAAAAGTTTTAGCTCTTGTAACTTTTTTTGTGTTATATCTTTTTTTTTTAAAGAACACTATTTTACTATAATATACTACAAAACCAAATATAGGTTTCGTTAAAAGTATATTTTTTCAATATAAACTTAAAAGAGATTTACTATAAAATTATTATTAAAGTAGATATTTTACTTTTATTTTACTATGATTTTTTTTATATTCATATATTATATAAATAATAGTAGCTTATAATGAAGTATTTATATAACGTAAATATATAATTAATAATTTATAAAATAATAATTAATATTGATATTAACAATACTATTAAATTTTTTATAATTTAAATTATTCAATTATTTATAAAATTGTATATAAATCTTTATTATGGCCTTAAAAAAAGCGTAAAGTAACGAGAATGCTTTTAAGTATAAATAATTAAAATAATAATAAACTTCGAAATAAGTAAAAAATTAATTTTTTTATTATAAACTTTAGTAAATTTATTTATAATTTTTTTAAATCTATTATTATTATTTTATAGGTAATAACTTTAAATAAATTTGTTGTCGTTAAGAAATATTGTCAGCAAACTTTTTTTTATAGAATTTAATTAAGAGAATTATCATATTTCATAAAGAAATTCTAAGCCGTATTAATAATATTTATGAAAGTTTACTCGTTTACAAAATTTTCAAAGTTTTTCTTAGAAAGTTATACTTATAAATAAGAAAACGTGCAAACTTTTATTTATTATAATATTAAAAATAAAATATATAAAAAAATAATGAACTACTGCAAATCTTTAAAAAAGTTATTATAATAATAAATAGTTAATAAAACAATAAACTTATTATATTATATTATATGAAATTATATTTATAAATAAAAAAAGTAAGCATATTTTTTTAAACTTTTAATAATAACAATAATTCGAAAGTTTTATGACTAGTAAATTAAAGAGATAAACTTTTTGTATTATATCATAATAATAGTAACAAATATCATAAACTTTTATATAGTTTTTATAGAAAGAAAAAATAATAACTAGCAATTAAAATATTAACCTTTTTATATTATATAATTATTAAGTAAATAAAAAACTTTTTTTATTGATTATTATGAAAAGTAAGAAAAACTTAGTAATAAAAAGTAAATAACAGCAATAAACTTTTCATTTAGTTTTTATAAAAAGTAAAAAAAATCAATAACTAATAATAAAAGTTTTATACTTTTTTTATTCTATATAATATTTAATAGCAAACGAAATAACGAAATTTTTGTATTTAGTTGTAATAAAAAGTAAAAAACAATAATAACTAATTATAAAAGTATTAAACTTTTATTATATATAATAACTAATAGTAAACAGGAAGTTTAAACTTACATAGTTAAAAAATAATAAAAACTTTAAACTTTTTAGATATTATATTAATAATAGTAAACTTTTTTTTCCAGTTTTTAATAATCAATACAAAATTTTATAGTACATACCTTTATTTATTAATAATACAGAACTTCTCAAGTTTATCTTTTAAGCTTTTCGCAGGACATTTGAAAGAAGAAGAAGAAAAGATAAAAGAAAGTAAAAGAAAAAAAAAAGAAATACAGAAATTTTTAAAATTTAAAGAAGAATTTAAAGTAAATTTTTTTTTATTTTATTGATTATTATTATAAAACATTTGTCGTTTACTAAATAAATTTTAAAGTTTATTATTATTTTTTTTATAGTTATTTATATTGTTCATATATGGGCCGATCATTTGTTTGTGATAAATTAAAAAATATATACTATAATGAAATTATTAGATATTTGGATAATATTATATATTTTTTTACAAATTATATATAAACTTTATATAAGCAATATAATAAAAATTATAAAAGTTATATATTATAAAAATATAAACTTTATGTTTTGTTATATTGGTTTATACGCATTTTTGTCATTTTATTGGTTTTGAAAAAACCTTTATAATATTAATAATTTATTATTAATTATTCATTATTTTTTTTACTTATTTATTAACAAAAAAGAGTAATAAAAGTAAACATACTTATAAATAGTCTCGCGGTTATAAGTTTAGCGCATCGCTACAGCGGTCCGAGGTATCATTATTATTATTATTATTATTATTATTATTATTATTATTATTATTATTATTATTATTATTATTATTATCATTATAGTATTATTATCTAACTTTATTAAATATTAAAACTGAACTTTATAATTTTTTACTTATTTTTATATTATAAAATATCGTAAACGTACTTCATTTATTATTATAAATATATTTAAATTTTACAGTATTTCAAAGTAAAGCAGCATATAAAGTCCTATTATGATAACAAAAGGAAACTTTTTATATATCTTTTAAAAAAATAAGTGAAAATTTTTATAAAAGTAAAAGTTTTCTATATTTATATAAAGTTATTTGTTTATAAAGATGTTTTTTTTTTATTAATTTATAATAATTATAAACTTTTAAATTATTATTAAACTTATATTTATAATTCGATTATTAAAAAGAAAATAATCAATATTTATATTATTTTTATTAAAGCAGATCGAAAACTTTTGTTTAATATAATATTATCATAAACTTTAAATAATATCAAAATTTTTTTGAAAATTTTTATACTTTTTTACTATTCTTATATTTTTATTAACTTAATAGTTATATAATGAAAACATTTTTATACAATAATATTATTAAAGCTTTATAACTCTTTTTCATTTTTCTATTATTATATATATTTTTTACTTCATATTTTTAAAAAAAATTACTTTTTTTGAAATAATTATGAATATAACAAGAACATTTTCTTAAAAATGCTTTTTTTTATTTTAAAAGTTTCATAATATATAACTTTTTTTATATTATGATAATATTATTAAAAACTTAAAACTTTTTAAAATTTTTTGTGGAAACTTTTATATATTTATTATTATTTAATAAGAATTTTTGTAAAAATAAATAATATTTACATATCATCACAATGTTATTATTAAAAACAAAAAACTTTTATATTTTTACTATTAATATATATTATTTTTAAAATTTATGTATTTAAAAAAATTTTCATACTATATTATTACGAATTTAAAAACTTATCTTATTACTAATATACTATGAATATTTTCTTTTATAAACTTTTACTTTTTAGTTTTTCTTATAAAAGTTATTTTTAATGGAAAATAATAAGACTTACATTTGAAATTTTTTTTTTAAATATTTATTCTTTTTTTTATATATATACAATTTTTTTATTAACATAGATATTATTTTTGAATAAATAATATAAAACTTTTACTACATTATAAATTTTTTTAATATAAATATTTCTTTGCTGAGTTTTATATTATAATATATTAATAAGAATTATATAATTTATAAAAACTTTACACTCGTTAAAGAAAAAAAAAGTCTAGAAACTATATTATTTCTGTATTTATTTTATTATAAAACTTATAATAAATAATATTATAATAAAACTTAAAAATTCTTATATTATTTATTAATTTATAAAATATTTTAAATGTTTATTGTCTTCACAAGGAAAAAGTTTTTATAAATTTTTTAAGTTTTTTATTATAGAAGTTTTACATTATTTATACAAAATTAATTTTTTTTTAAAATAATTTTGTATAAAGTTAAATTTGTTATAATAAAAAATATTTACGCCTTTATTATATTTATTACTGTATTACTAGAAATTATTAATAAAAGTATAAAAATTTTTATATATAAAGTAATAAAGTCCTGCACTATTTTTTTTTGATAAAGACAGTAATATACAGAATAATAATGTTTTTTAATGTGAAAGTTATTATTAGAACATATCTAAAAGTTTAGGAAAAAATTAGTAGATAATACACTTATGAAAACTATAATACTATAAATATAAGTTTGTATATATTTATATATTATAATAATATTTAGAAGTCCTTTTTTTATATATAACCTAAGAATATTTTGAGGCACGTTAAATTTAAGGATGAAAGTTTTTTTTTCCCAGTAAACTTTTATTATCCCGAACACCATCAGAAAGACTTTATTATGTTTTTCGAAGAATCCGCTACTTTTCAAGCTCATATTAATGTACAAAGAAACTTCTATTATTTTTGTTTTTAATTATTATTATTTATAATTATTTTTTAACGTTATAATTCTTATTATTTTATATATATATATATATATATATATATGTATAACAGTTTTTTTCATTAATAAACAAAAATTATATTTCATATACTTCAGGAAATATTTAGCTCTCCAGCTCCTTGGGATAGGGACTATAAATACACTTCCTCTAACCTAGACGTCTTTTTTATTGGTCAAGACTTAAAAAAAAATTCGTTATTGGTCCAAGGTTGCCTTAGTTAAAATTATTTTACGTCAAGAATTATTTATTATAAGCACACAATTAAATTTTTTTTTCTTTCTAATAAAGACAAACATGAAATTTACTTTTACAAAAGTTTTTTTTATAAAGTACTGTAATGGAGGCTACGATCTGATTGGTTATAATTTATTTTTAATGGCTTGATGTTCCGCTTTTTGCTTTTCCGTGGTAGAACTTTTAAAATTTTTTTTTGACATCCACTCCGGCAATGCACTGCTGCGTTGCATTAGAACTGTTTTACTTGATTATATTTCTTTAGAATTTTATTTATACGCCGCCGCGTTTTCTGAAAAGTTATACAAAAATAACCAATTTTGAATGCTTTGCAACGACTGTAGGAAGTTTTTTTTTTGAAAACAAATCTTTTAAGCAGGTCATAGTAGAAAATTAAGTTCAAAAAGTTAAGAAATAATTGAAATTTAATTTATGGTAAATGCTACTACTCAGACAAAACTGTCTCGTTGAACTAATCAAGAAAGTAGTTTGAAAATCATTAGTTTATTTAATTTTAGAAAGAAAAAGTAATTTTTACTACTTTTATTTTTGTAGTTCTTTTATCTATTTTTAAACTGCTTTAATTCCAACAGAATATTAAAAAAAAATTCGCATTTTTTACAATAATTAATTCAATTTTTTATTTTTTGTATAATAAATTTTTATTATCATATAACTTATATAACTTTTATTTGTTTTTTTCATACAGTCGATCCAGAGTGGACTTTACAGAAAGTTCTGCAACACCAATTTTTTTTTCTTCAAGGCGACTCTGTTATCTTTATACTTTTGCCGCATGGCAACTCTCCTCAAAGGGAAGCTTATTTAAAAAAATTAAAATTTTCACTTTTGTTAAATTAATGTATTGTTTATTAAATAAAAACAGTCTTTTTTAAATAAAAGTTTTGTAAGGATTTGTAATTTATTTTAAAGAAGTATTAATTCAATAATCAATTTTTATAATTATAGCTCCACAAAGATTTACTTCATACCTCAGAAGTATATTACTTCTTTAAAAAAAAAACAACTTTTATTTTTGTATAAAAGTTTTTCAAAGATTTTCCAGTTTATTTAAAAAATTTACTTGAATAGAACCTCACCGTATTTATAATAAAAGTTTAAAAGTAAATTACTTTACACTTTTAAGGATTGAGTGCTTATTAAAATAAAAGAAACCTTTTTTATAATAAAATTTTTACAGAAAATTACTTTATACTTTAAAAATGTATTGTTACTCCTTTTTAATAATTGTTTCCAAGATTTAGGTTATACTTTTCAAAAGATGCGAGCATAAATATACTTAATAAGAAACTTATAAGATTTTAAAAAAAATTTTTTATTTACAACTATAGAAAAGAGTTATACTTTCTTACAAAGTAAAGTTTTGATATTATAATATATTATTAACTTGTATGATAAAGTAGATAGGTTTACTATGAAAAAGAGTTATTCATTCTCACGCGTAATAGTTTTTATAATATAAGTAAATTAAACAATATATTAACTTTGTGTACAAAATAGAACTAATTAGAATAGAAGAAAAAAATAGGAACTCAAGGAGGAAGCAAATATTGATCACAGCTGTATTATCACGGGTAATAGCAGAACTCATAAGCTAAGTCAAATTTTTTTCGGAAAAGCAAGAGCGGTACTCAGTGATAAAAAGTAGAGAAGTCGAGTTGGTAATTCGAAGGGAGAATATGAAATTAACGAAACGTTAAAACAACAATGGTTATGCAAATCGCTTGTAAACAAAGTATGAAGATTCTTGCTTTTTATCAGGAAGTATTTTCTAAGTCTCGGTAGGGCTAAAAAAAAAACAATAAGGTGATCTAGATTTAAGCTTGTCTTTAAAAGCAATTTTAATATATAAACATCTTTTTAATTCATCCTTTTAATTCCAGTTCCCCCCAGTGTAATATAAAAATTTCAACACCTAATTATATTTTAATTTTTAAAATTTACTCAATAGACATGATATTTAAAACATAAAACTTAAGGATGTCTTAGTGATTGATTATACTTGGAATGTTGCACTGTGATTTTTTGTTTATTTTGGTAAAGTGTAAAAAGAAAGATTAATAGTAATAAAGGGGTAACAAAAGTTTCCTCATTTATCGTCTTTCTTTTTAATTCTTCTGCTTTTTTTGCTTACCTTTTTATTACCGTGCATGGTAGGCGATAGCGTGTACCTTGGTTCGTAACTGAAATTCCTCCTCAGACCTAACTATCCGTTCAAAAGGACACTCAGTTTATAATTTTTATTGCAACAGCTAATACATGAGCGGTTAAAACTTCACGCATTTTGTTTCGAAATGACCACCTTAAATTTGGGATAAACCCAAGACATCATGCAGCCTTTCGATTCTAAACTTAGAATCGCTAGAACAGTTTATTCAAGAAAAAACCCTAAGATATTTTTACTTTCGCCTGGCAATCCGCTTGTGGAGGTTATCAGGCTTTAGCAAATAGAGCACCTACCAAGCAAGGGTGTTAATAGAGGTCCTTGTGTAATTTTAGTGGTGAGCATTCACCCCCTGCGTGTATGAAGTATGCGGTCTCCTAGATAAGATTTGATCACGTTTGAAGGACAATAGGGAGGGCTATAACTTTCAATTTTCGAAGCAAGCCCTTGTGGCAAACTTGGTCACACGCTTATTCGACAGCAATAATGACAGCAGTGCTTGTCACCTTAAAATTGAATATACGTACCGCCCATTCCGCTAGGGAAGGGAGTGTTGCGTGGTGCGATGTCCTCGTCGAGATGCAGATTAGAACTCTGGTAGGTCATTGCTTACTTCAACAAAGGAATTATTGTAGTACTTTATGGCGGCTTTAGCTACTGTGCCAACGGCTGACTATAAGCTGATAGATATTAATTAATTGGCGGAGAGGCTGAACGCGGTGTCTTCAGGAGAATCATAGCAGTAGCCCGAGAACCATTATCGAACTGACGAAAGAGCATAGATTCACCGACACCATTAGCATTTGCACAGTATCACGTAATTAATACTATCGAGGAAGGGTATCTTTCGTTTCGGTAGAGCTTTATAATTTCCTTAATCTTGACTGTGGTGATTTAGCTCAAACTGCTCTCCGGCATCAGCGAGGAAGGTCGACTTATAAATCATTTTATCTACAACTGAAGAAGTAGGGTAGATGTCAGCAAAAAGTGTCGCTTTGTTCGTTACAAAGTTCCCTTCTCATAGGGAAGGTATGATAAAAGCACTCGGTTTCTGTATTGTTTTAATAAAATGCTAGAAAGAGATGCAAAAGTCATCGCCAGCTACCGAGTTATGATTCAAGTTAGTCTCCTACGAACGGTTGTGGTGGTGCCAACAGCTTTTCTCCTATGCGCTGATGGGTAATCGATTAAGCTCTAATTTGCCTTTAGGATGTTTGACGCGATGGCAGCTCGAATAAAGCGTCGACGCTCGCACTTAAGGACCTTCAGTGCCTCAGGTAGGCGGTTAGGTGGTACTCAACTTTACATGTCGCCGTGGCGGTGCGGTACGCCGTGATCAAAGCACTCTCAGGTTCAGCAACAGCAAAGCCATATAGGATGGACGTTCTAGGTAACGCCGAGGATGTGAAAAAAAAGGTCATATAGAAAACCTCGGAAGGCTTAGACCAGTTCGTGAAATTTCTAATACATACCCTTGGTAATCTCTTTCGGCCCCCCAGCTCAATCAGAACTGACAGGTAATTTGAGAAGAATCCAATCAAGTAATCTCCCACAGCACACGGTATAAAATTAATGCAATTTATAGTACATTCCCAATAATAAAGTTGCTTTAAATTTTAGCATTGTTTGGCGCATGAGTAAACCACAACTGCTGGTATCATTTACTATGTAGAATGAGTACAAATAGTATATTCGAGATTAACAGGATTTCATTAGAAAAGATAAATAGATTTATAAATAAAATAGAATAAATATCGCTAATTAATTAGTAAACTGATACGTTTAAAATGTACAATAAAAAAGAAGACATTTAAAACCCCCAGTTAACCTATAATCAATAAAGTTTAATATATATATATTCACTAAAGATAAGACCTAGCCAATGATCCTGTAAGATTGTCAACCCTGGTATTTTGTAGCTTACTTTTAATGGGGACCTAATATCAAATATAAAATATATTATAACTATAAATAATATTATCCATATAAGGTAGACTACCTTAGTTTTAATTCCTTATTTCCAAAAATTTTTTTACAAAGAATGCAAAGAGGGGCCTCGCATAGTTCTCTTGCCGTTTTTTGGTTGTGACCTCTGTACCTCGACTACTTTTTTCTTACAGTTGACAAACTTGTTAAAGCTTATTATAATATTATATATTATTTGTTACAATTACTATTTTTATTATAATAATTATTTTTGCGTTATAACCTCTTTTCTCTTTGTTTATCTTTATTTTTCTACGTTTAACTTTTTTAAAAATAAGTATCTTTACTAAAGAAGAGCTGCTAGCCTTGAATGCTAACTTATTAGTTTTCAGCGAAGAACTCAGAATCGGGTTAGGCCCAATAAAAGCTATACATAATGAGTACATAAAAACCACTCAGGCAAACTAGAGTTTTAGAGAGGAAAGGAGCCTATTGATCTGATGACTAATAATAATGTTTACTCAACTTTAAAAAATCTAGATCGGTCACAAACTTTTGAAATATTAGAAGAAAGCGAGAACTTCCAGTACCAAAAACGAAACTCAAAGGTAAAGTAGTTTTTAGTAGTGATAGTGGTAATAGCAGTAGTAATATTAATACTTCTCATAATAGCGTTTCTACTTTTAGTAAATACTAATAATAATTTAAGTAGTGGTAAAAATTTTAGTAATAGTTGGGAGGTAATTAATTTATAATAGCTTAAATAAGGGTAGTGAGAGTAATGAAATCTAAGAAGACTTCGAAAAGCCCGAAAAAGCTTTACAACACATGGTAGTCGTTGAGATGGATAGTGAAGCGGGCACTGCTCCTAAGAAAATTGAAACGTTCGAATGAAAGGGATCTCGTAAAAGAAAGATTCCTCCCTTTATTCTATGCGAAAAACAAAGGTGGTCTTTACTAATTCAACTTTTGCAAGCTAACGGCGTAAATATCCTGCATCGAGAGATAACCCGTCATAGAATCAAGGTATTTCCCTTGACAGCTAAAGATTACCTCTCTATAATAGCGCTCATGCGAGCTCAGGAGTTTCAGTTCTTTACATATCCATTACCTGAAGAAAAGTACTTGAAATTTGTCCTCCCGTGGGATTGACTGTGAACTCCATCTTTAAATCGTTGAGGAGGATTTGCGAGAATGTACACGGAGGACATCGTCAATGGCGAGGGCCACTTGACAGCTCTATGCATGAAGCACGAAATAGTCCTGCTACCTGTGTAAATTGCGGTGAAGCGCAAACCGCTAATTATCAAGGTTGTAAATAATCTCCGCGTAAGGCAGGCAGTCAACCCGCTAAGTCCTCTCCGTCGGTGCTCACTACAAACAACACCGTTACTCAGGGGGTCTGTTAAGCGTCCTTTTGAGGACAAAACATCCTCAAAACTCGCCCATTATTCTGTTAGTTTTTAAAACTCCTGGACAGGCTTCTACTGCGAAAACTGCAGCAAACAACTACAGCCGACATTACGGCAGCTGTTAGCAATTTTAACGATGAATTTTACAACATGCTCGAACCCGTGAAAAGCCTGGAGCCTGTTTGTAACGGTTTTTAACCAAAGACGCGCCGCTACTTTCAACTATTATTCTAGAAAGCAAATGGTGTTCTAAATAAGAAGCATTAGCTTCAGGAGCTGTTAAATTGGAAAAAATTGATGAGTGCGCCGTCAACGAGTTGCCCCTCCTCCCTAACGTCGCATTTAACCTGTACAACTTTATTACATGTAGCCAAAAACGGATCGATGCACGCGGCTGGGGCGTGGCTGTCTAATAAAACGGATCATCCAACATCACTCAATATCTCTGCCAATCTATAAAGTCTCGAGGCAGTGTGGATTTCCTTATGCATAGCCGACCAGGTTCATGTCTGTGTTCGCTGTCTACGAATCCCCTTGGAAGTTACTACCGCCCTCCTATGGAACGCCACCTTGCGAGTGACTTCTCTTCAGTTATGTGCGGAGATATCAGTTGCCAAGCACTTTTCATGGAACAGTCGCACCGATAATTCGAAATGGTCAGATCTTTGAAGCCTATGCTGATAAGCAGAACTGTACATACTAGTCCCTTGCACCGAATACACTTGGCGATTACAGGCACAATGGACGTACTGGATATCGCCACACTTAAAGCTAGACGTCTCACAACGGCAATTGAGCTCTCCACGAGCTGTTCCTCCGATCACCTTCCAGTTATACTCCAATTACGCGCCGAAGACTGTCACCCGCTTTTTTACCAACTGGGGCAAATATGCTGAGTTTTTAGAAACTACACTCCAGCGTGGCCGTCACTACCGTCTACACCCGCCCTGCTGGATGATGCTGTTACCTTATTCGAAAGTATACTGAATATGGCTCGCATTACTGCCGCGACAACTCGTGAAGTAATATACCGCCCTGATCGCCTGTCTAATGAACTAAAGGCACTTATCTGACTCCGTCGACTGCTTATCCGAGTGGCTATGTTGTCGCAGAGCGCCGAAGACAAGCTTGCGCTTAATTGACTGCATAGGTGCACAAGAAAGAGGCTAATGGACCATTCCAACAAAGGCCAAGCTGCGCTATATATGCGAAGCAGGCAACAGCAGTCGCTTCTCCTTCTTTTAGAAATTAGTTAAAAAAAAAAGATTAGACATCGGGGACTTGCACCACTAAGGTCTCTTAGGGAAGGTAATATAATGGCCGAGAGTGATGAAAACAAAGCTACACTTTTCGCTAATTCCTTTGCTACCCAAAGCATGCCAGCTGCCCACTTAACTGCCAATGATGCGCTCCCTTAGTTGAGTTTACCCCTTCCTGATGTCCACGAACCACTTCAGCTAGTTAATGTTGGTGAAGTGTTCAAGTGATTATCAAAGTGCTACCCAAACGAAAAAACGCCTGGCCCCGATGGCGTCACTAAAGGGATGCTGAAGAAACTGCCGTTATTAAAGTTATCTGTACCTCTTTTTTAAAACCTGCGATGGTTCTTTGTGCCTTTCCTATCTGATGGAAGAAGGCGACCATTATGATGCCCCCCTTAAACCCTAATCAGTAACTAGCAAGTACCGACCCATCAGCCCGCTGTCTGCAGTCGGCAAGATAGGTGAGGCCGTTGACACTCGGGACGCCTTGCTGGAATTTCAGTTTGGATTTCGGCAAGGGCATTAAACAAGCCAGCAGCTCTCCGCTTAACTGAGTGAATTACTCGCTTTTAACTTTAAGAAGGTAACAAATGCAGTCTTCCCTGACGTAGAAAAGCATTCGATTAAGTTTGGCATGGAGGTCTACACAGGCGCGGCTGCGATCCCTGACAGCAGCTCTTCACCGAAACCCTTTAGACGTCGTCTTCCAACGTGATACGACTGACTAGCCAGGCACACTAATTACCTGCTGGTGAGTGAACTTATTTACGAGTCATCTGACGGTGCACGTTATCAACGCCCACGTGATGCGCGTAAGCGCACGTTTTTGTTTGTTAATGTCAAGACGATAATGACACCTTTCCGATTGAAAGCTACTTTATCATAAGTTTGCAATCACTCCTGGCTGAGAGCTTGAGTATTCGAAGTTTTTGACTAAATCGAGCTCCAGGAACTGTCATTTATAAAAAATAAATATTTAAGTAAATAGAACAAGGTGATTCATCACTCTCTGCTTGTGTTTGTTAGTTGGTTGCTTTTGTTCGATTTTGGGCCCCTGTTGATAGGTCTGAATTGGTCCATATTGTAGCTAATAGTAATTGTTAAAGGTTTTGGTTTACAAAGCGGGGCGGTACGGGGGCATTAATCATCTAGGGCGTAGTCATCCTAATACTTAATTATTTAAAAATAGCTGTTAGTTAAAATCTGGTTAATAGAGAATATTTATAGTAGATTAGGACTTTATTTTAACATACAGTCCGAATGAAGCCTAAAATGCTGTTAAAATACGAATAATTTAAAAAAGACGATATTCAGTACACCTGATATCCGTGTACTCCATGTGCTTGAGGGGGCGTGGCTCCAAGATGCGCAGCCGCGCTCAGCGATTTGTTTCGAGCATTCGGCAGTTGGAGAGGTAGGCTCACTGGATTTATCCAAATAAATTAATAAATTATTTAATAACTCGTGAATACCTTATAACAAAACCCTTTTAACTTAAAGTTTATAATGAAAGTTGTATATGTAATTTATCGACCAGGAATGTGAGCTGTCACCGTAGCTCAGCGGTTAGAGTATTACCGCGCGATCAAGACCGTGGGTTCGATCCCCAGGTGCCAACTCGCATTTTCCTAGTTTGGTGGTTACGTGTACAACTTCCCTACTAATCCAAATTCTCTGTTAGTTTATATATTGCCACTAATAATGGCTATTTTTAGAGACATTTACCTAGTGCGACTTCTCTTATAGCAAGGTAGTAACACTGAAGCTACGACAGTTCGTGAATCTATTTTTATAAACGTGCATATGCGAAAGGTGCTAGTTCTTAGTATTAGCACTAACAACAAGTGACTAATAAACTTGTAAGTATAACTTGAGCCACACTAAGGCAGATATATATGTTTGTTAACCACCTCAGTTTAATACTACCTACAATAAAGCCCAGCCGGTATACTATGGGCAGAGTATGCATCCCGTGTGTTCTCCGCGCCATTTGTTAGCCGTCACTAGTTATGACTAAACAAAACTATAAAGAGATCAATGTACTGGCTTTCAACTGGTGCAAAGGAAAATGTATTTTCCCTAAGAGATCCTAAAGAGAGTAGGTAAGGGGTGCTCAGGTGTTCATGGAGGTGCTTTATAATATTTTTTATATTAGATTAAAGTTATTTTAAAATTGGGTATTTATTGCTCGCTACTTAGTAAATTAACTGTGCTAAACTTATAAACCTCAGAGTGGGCCAGTTTATTAAGTATATATCCTTAGATTTTTTTTTAAAAAAAAAAATTAAATAACTACTCAGGTCTCTTTGGAGTACGGAACCGTTTCTAACAAGATACCTCATAAATATTTGGTTGGGAATATCACACATAAATGGACTGTTTTTACTAGACTTCACCCTCCTTTTGAATCTTATTCAGTTTATTTAATTAAAAAGGTTGAGTTTTATTTACATGTCGACTTCCCCGATCCTTGCAGAGGTCAAATATTTTAAAAAAATAATAATTGATTAATATCTTTATTTGATGTATGTCTTTATGACATTTACTTAAGTTTAATGCATCAAAAGTTGTTGAAGAGCCTCCTTACGAGGTACAAGCAGAAGGCTGGGGTGAGTTCCAGATTCAGATATTCATATACTTTAAGGATGAAATTAATATGCCTCCTTTTCATCTAGCCATCGACCTTGGTTGAACCTCCCGGCTTTAATTTTTCTATTTATTTATTTATTTTTACCTTTAGAACTACGCTCACGAAAACACACAAATATAAAAGCTACTTCTCTTGTATTTTAACTTTTTATTCTTTGCTTTTGAGAATCGGAAGCTTAATCAATATTATAAAATCAAAGACATTTTCTTTTAGTTGTTTAAGTATGGAATTATGGAAGTCAATTTTTTCCACACTACTTAGAGGTTTATGATATTTTGAATAACTATAAATTATTCACAATTTATTATATTAATGTTTTTCAAATAAAAGAAATTTTTATATTATAAAAGATTTTAAAGATTTTTATAGATTATTTAATTTAAAAGTTAAAGTAACAGTAATAATTTATTTCAACTTTATTAAAAATTTTTGAAGTATTGTGTGGCCTATTTATATTTCTGAATCTTTTGAACTTTAATTATATTGTAAATCTTTAATAAAGAAATATTGCAGAATTACAAGTCAAGCGGAAAAGATCCGAACACTTTAACATTAAGCATACTTAAGCGAATGCTTCGAGTTATTAATTTTATAAGAAAGTTTCAAGTTGATGCTCATGTATATTTTTTAAACCTTTTAGGATGAATATGGCTTATACTTTGTAAAAAAATCGGCTCAATATGCGTTTATGAAAAAGTTTATTATTAATGAAACTTCAAAACTTTTTAAGGAAGAATGCAAAAGATTAGCCCTTTCTCTCAAGTCATCAATTATTCATAATTCGTAATGGATGAAGAATTATTATATAGAAATTTATTAGTCTTCATTTATTTTATAAATTGTTAAAAATTGGCTTGTATCGCGCAAAGATAGAAGTTAACTTTAAATATATGTACTTCAGTTACATCCAAAGTTTTACTTTATACAATATAAAGTAGTTAAAATTTTCTAAGGTTTAAACTTTTAATACTGATTCAAGTTCACGAGGTATTAAAAATAAGGTTGCTTAAAATGAACTAAATTTTACCGGGCGCCCGCCCTAAAAGTCCCCCTGCGTTTTGCTTCGATCATTCTATATCCTATTCTGTCTGTCTTATCCCTTACTTAAGGGGGTCTAGACTGTATAGCTACCAAGCAAAAAAAACAAAGGGATCCACTAGGGTATTAAGTTTGTAAAGATTAAAAAAAAGAATATATATATCAAAACCGTTATTATTTTTAATAACATCCTAATATAATCTTAATTTTTTCTTTTTCTCTATACCTTTAGTTACTACATCGTAGTCCATCAGGTTAATTGTATCGCCTATAACAATAAAAATGATATAAGAAAAGGTACTAGACTTAATGGGCTGCCTTGCAGCTGCACTTAAAAAAGTAGAAAGAGCGCGTATTTCATAAAGAAATATAGCACTACATAACTATTGGTTTGCATATAATCATAAAAATATTATTAACCAAACATAGTAAAAATCCCACGTGCTCACTTGTTAGACCTTTAGTAGTAACAGAGAGGTATCGAACAACGAGTGAGAGTTAATAGCGTACAGGCAATCAAGCCTTTTATATACTTTAACAAAGGTTAAAATTTTTTCAAATAAACACCTTGAATCGGGGCCGTTATAGTTAAATGAGTCATAATTACCATGCATAATAATTGGTTTAAACGGAAACTGCCAAAATGTTTAAAATTGTGTTTATTTCAAAATGTTAGTTATGTTTTCTAATGATTTTTTTTTTAATTATAGATACTATGTGGTTACTTTTGGTTTAATGTATGTGCATTCCCCCATTTTTACTATAACAAGTAGTAAAAAAAATTGACCTAAGAGAGCTCGCGTAACATTCAAATACTACCCTCTTTGTCATTAAAAAAAATTTACACGCCCGCTAACGAATCTGATTTTTCGAGTTAAAGGTATTAGCCGACTTTAGATACATTTTATACATCATGCTATCCTCTCTCGAGGCACATAAAAAGGATTTAACCACTTTAAAAACTAATTCAGTCAATCAATAGCAGCTGCTATTTAGCCCAACCAGATCTTACCTTTTAAGAATTTAATCAATACCTTTAGCTTGCAAAATTTGTGCGTATTACTCAGATCATTACTGGTAAACAGTTCACTTATTTATTACTTTCCAACTTTCCTAGAGCTTGGCTGTAATAGCACTGCATACACGACATTTTAATTTAATTTATATACCAAGTTAGAACTTTTCTCACTAATTACCACCAGAATAATCCGTGCTTTAATTACTTAGGCAGGTTTCTTCTAATCATGTCCATTAATTACTGCTTTCCAAGAACTCAGTATATATACCGAATAGCCAGCTTCTGTCTTTCGGCCCATCCTCCTTTATAACCTCTCCATCTTCACTAACACCTTTTTTAAATCATTGGAACTTCAAACTCTGCATAATTTGACTTTTTTAAAAACCACAAAAAGACAGGCACAGCTTCCCGAATGTTGGGAGTTTTGCTACATTAATATGTACTAATCTTGTAAACTAGTTCATTCAAGCTTTATCTTAAAACTTGTTTAGAGCAGCGCTTTTCTTATTGTTTTAAATAAGTCTTTCAGCAATTCCATGATAATAGTTGGTAGTCCTAAAATGTTCTTTAATTTATGTAATGTAAGAATTCCACTAACATCCTATTTTTAAAAACTAGACAATTAAAAGTAGTTTTACAAGGTAGCTACAACTTGTGTATGTTAAAAACACTATAACTTATCTAGTTTTATTGTTTAAGCTATACCAAAACAAATTGAAAATACTGGTCAACTATATCTAATATCCAGTTAAATTCTTCTAGAATTCTAAGCATAAACAATGTTTCTGCAAAACGATGTTTAAAATATCTCTGTGTTGCATCTATCAGGTTAGGTCCTCACGCGCCTTCCAGCTCATCAATCTATTACAGAATCGCATCTTTACAGGCGTGATTCACCAAAGTGTCCAAGTTATCACTTACCTATAGTACGTTTTAATTTATCACCCTCGGTATGGAACCAGACCTCATGTAGGTGTCGGATGTTAGAGCCCTAAGTTCGTAAGGTTCTCTAAAGATAATAAGCGCTTACAACTATTACTCTTAAAGCGCTAAGATAGTAGGTACAAGAAAGTAAACTAATAGAACAAGACTGGAGCTATTGTTACGTCCCTGGAGACTGTAAGGTCCTCTGGGGAAAATAAGCGTCCAACGATGAACTTATAAGAGCTAAAATATATGGTAAGTAAAAATAACAAAAATAATCCTATTTAACCGAGCAAAAATAGTTAACAGAACTAAGATCTTAAAGCAAAAGTGGAGCTAGTGCACAACTATATCAAAACTGTTCACATGCAAGAACAGGACTTAAGAAAAGTCCTTAAGATAAAAAAGAACTTAGAAATGTAAAGTAGAAGCAAAGAAACTTGTAAAGTAAACACAGGAAAAGCTCTGTACAGAAAAAGTAACGGGATCAACTCCCACTCCAAGGTCGGAAGCCTTAAATATCGGTTTAAGCGCTAAAAACGGAAATCCTAAGATTATTAGTCGAGTAAAGGCATTGGGCATTGGTTGCGTTTACCATAGGGGCGCATGCTAGATTATTACAGCAATGGCACAACTAAGTAAAAAAAGCTGTGCACATGCGAGAAAAGAACATTTAAAACTGGATATAGTGGAAGAATAGGAAAAGGAGCTTCATTATAAAAAAGTGACAGAATCAGATTACTTTAGGCGATAAGTCTTAAGTAGCTGATTCCATGCTAAAATGCTAAAAATATTAGGAAAATGAATTAATCGCAACTAAATTAAGCTGACCTACTAAAACAAAGATGAGAGCGCATGCTAGGTCGGGGCATCGGACTACCTCAATGAAGGCATCACGCTCTATAACTTGAAAACTTTGTATCGTATTTCCACAAGAATTAGAGCGTCTGGACAGTAAATCGGCCACCACGTTTTTATATCCAGGAATTTATTTAATAAAATTCTTATTTAGACGTGTTTAATACCATTAATTCTTTGCTTCTTTCCATGAACGGATATTTATTCTATCATACTTTTTTTGATGGGCTTGTAATAAATAAGCGAATTTACAAATGGAAGTTTGAACAAAAAAATATAAATTAAAAAAATAAGAAATAAAAAATTTGGAAGAGCAAGAGAAAACAAAAACCAAAAAATATTAATATAGAAAAGGAGGGAACAAGGAGTTAAAAATTCCTCTTACCTACTTAATTAAATAGACCCTTCTTTGTATTAATATTAAATGCAGTAAAAAAGAGCTGATTAAGACAAGATCATTAACACTAATAAAGAATATTTTAGAATTTCTGAATTATTGTTGGTCTATTAGATATTGTTTGGATTAAATTCCTTAACTTTCCTCAGATATTTTTATAAGGGATCTACATTAATTTTATTTGGCTGTAAATGGGTATATCCCGATGCAAGTTATGGATCAGAACTCGATCGACGATTAAGACGCGGAATTTTAATGCTATCCAATAATCAAAATTATTACGATTATTCAGCGGAAGCTGAGTGAATCGAGTTAACCTCCACTGTTAAATATGTTGAATGGACCAAAACTGTTTTAGGTGAACTTGGGCTTGTATGAATTACCCCATGACGAGTAAAGTAGATAATCAAACTTTAATCATTGTTCATAACAGAAGTGGCACTAAAACTTCACGCCGTATAGATATCAGATATCATTTATTAAAGATGATATTGTTAAAACGGTTATTAAACTAGAATATTGTTCAACAACCGAAAAGTTAGCGGATATTCCTTACTAAATGTTGATGAGTAAGCCATTCATTAAAAATCGTAAGCAGTATCATGTTGACAGGGAGTCTAAAATAGCAACCCAATTACAACCAATTTTCAAGACGACGCATAAGGGTTACCATATAAGAAACTAGAGTGTAATACTGGTGCATGCATCGAATGCAAAAAAAAAATAATGGAATTGTTTCTTGGAAATGGATTCCATTTCCTGAAAATGACTAATTCTAATATGAAGTATAAATGCCCCTTTATAATTTGGAACCATAACTAGTTCTTGGTATTTAAGGGATTTCCTTTTGTGCGTCTGCAACTGTCTGCTAGTCGAGTGGCTAGGTGGACTATTTTCTATCTTGATTTTTATACATATGTCTTCTCTATATTTTATAATTATTAGTAAAATATATACTTTTTATTGCTCTATATAAATATTTTTTAACGCTCACCACTACAGTCACTTACGAATTTAAATCCCAATTTCTTAAAATTTTCAACGAAACTCGTTTCCTTTGGGAAGATGGTGATCCACAACAAATATTCATGTTATTTTAAACCTATAAAATTTATCCGCACTTTTTTACATATTACATCCATATACTCAAAATTTACGCCTTCGAAAATATAATATCGAAACTTATTTCTTGAGACAATTGTCGGCTCCTTTATCCAGTCTAATACAGAAATCAAAGTTCTTTAACTTACTCATTACAATTAATTATTCTTCAAATTTCGCAACTGTTCTTTTCCTAAAAAAACGTTCAGGCAACTTTTCTAATATTAGCTAATTTGGATTATTTAAATGTGTAAGGATTTCCTCCACAAAATTTTCCGAGCTCTACATTGACTATTAATACCTTTCATTTTCCTTAGTATCCTTCCAAACAGCTTCTCCGTACGGCTTTCAATTTCCCTGTTGCATATTAACAAATCTAGACTTTCGTGTTTCACTCAGCACTTAGTACTCCCTCAACGTCTTTAAATACAGTCGTTTTAAAAAACTAAAATATAATTATATGCTTAAAAAGTTTTTATTTAATCACTAAATGTCCGTCTGCATCTCTATTTTCGTGGCATAGCTCTCTTCCGCGCTTCTTAAAGAGAATTTGCATAGAAGTATCACACCTGAGTATAGTGGTAAATTCAAAAAGATTTACTGCTTGTTTCAATCTAAGGTTTTGGACACTAGTAGATAGTGACTAATAAGGTATAATGAAATTATTTAACAGCAAAAACGAAGCACTATTAACCCCGGCAGGAACGCCGGACTAAGTAATATACAAACGGAAAAGAATACCCTTTTATAGCGTCAAGGAGATGAAATTTTTATATTCATTTTTGATGCCGTTCATGCTTCTCATCATAGGTATTTATATGGTTGAGAACTTGTTGATGGCTGTTTAAATATAGGTCTCGTACAGCACTCAAGAAACAGTAGGGGCCCTACTAGTTGCTGATAAGGGTAGTCAAAGGTATCGTCCTCTCATAGGTCAAGTTGTTTATCATTTAGTGGATATTTGTTAGGTGTGCAATCTTCCATCTCATAGTCAAGTAAAATTCTTTTAATATATTTTATTTGCTCTATTTGTAGACCACTGGAAGAGTCTTTGTAATTCATCACAAAAAATGAGCTTGCGGGAACTCCCTCTAAGTCAATATACAATTTTTCTGTCAGATCGCCAGACTTCTTTAAATTTATTACTAGTATAAACCATAAAGTTGTCAACATAAATAAGCATAATCGCTTTAAAATTTCCTCTTAAGTTTACAAATACGCGGAGTTCTGACGTTAATTGTAAAAATCCATTTTCTTTGTCTTAGGACACAAAATATATAAATTAAAGCAATTCTGATTGTTTTGTGCCATACAGTGCCTTTTGCAAATCGTAAGCAAATCTCTCGCTACTACCTTAGGATTTATTAAGTTAAATCTTGAAGGGAATGGAATATGCATTTTATAGTCCTCATCCGTATTAACGTATGCGTTTCGAACATCTAACTGAAGAGGTCTCAAGTTGCTAATGAGAGCGAAGACTCCAACTAACCTTACTGTTTCCTTTAATACCACAGGGGCGTAAACTCAATGAAGTCCTTTCCTTTTATCTGAGTAAAATCTCTTACGCACACTCTGAACTTAAATCTTCCGTCATTTTTTAATTTGAATCTCCAAGTTGTCGAATTTAACTTTTCACCTATAGAAGTTTTTACAATTTTCCATCTAAGTAAGTTTATAAAAGCTAGAATCTCCGCTTTCATGAAATTTCCCCGTTTTTCGTCTTTTAATGCACATGGTGGACTGGAAGAAATAAGTATTTTAGAGAACAGTATATAATTATTATTTCTTATTTCAATATTTTCGTAAATTTCGTCCCAACCTCCATCATCAAAGTAAACTACATAGGATAAGGTCTCGTTGTTAATTTTAATTTCCCTTATTGTAACGGGAAAAAACTTTGGTGTTTTGTGGTTAGCAAAATTTTGAAGCACTTCAACTCTGCTTCCACGTTTACATATACCTGAACTTTGAATAGCAGAGCTACATCCTCTTATATTATTTTCCTAATATTCGGCCTCCGTGCATGGGAATTCATCAGAGCTAATATGAGTTTTAAGATAATCAATTCTGACACTGAGTGGTTAGGAGTGGAGGGCTTTGATAAATTTCCGTAGTAGCCCGACTCTTGATTTAGTAATTTCTATATTTAACGACCCTATGAGAAGTTAAATCATAGATCCTCTTGCATCCGCCACAGGACTCTAAAAAGGCCCAAGCAACATTTTTCTTTTGAACTCGGAAACATCTTACTAGCTTGTTTACATCTATAGTAAACAAGTGACTCGAAAGTTGAGCTTATTAATATTCGGCTTCATTTTTAAAATTTCATCGACGTCTTTGAATCAGTTAACAATGAACGCTCGTGGGACTTGGCCTCGGCCAATAACTAAGGAGGTAATTATGCTTTCCTTATCATGGCTTTGGTCATCTCTTAATTAGGCAATTCTAGCATTCAGTAGGGGATGACGGTGAATTGGGAGCGGTAAACGTCTGCCTGGTTTTACGTACATAGCAAATATTTTTAAAATGTACATTACCAAACTCAGCTCCGTTGTCAGAGAGTATGCATTCAACTTCGTACCCGTAGCCAAAAGTATATTCTAACAAATTAGAGAAGTATATGTAAAACTTACCTTTACAATAAATCGTCAAAAACCAAACAAACTTTGTACTTTGCAAACAGTCATCAATCCGTAAACTTCCCTTCTTATATATTTTGGCCTAGGGGAAGGTCCGTGAAAGTCCAAACCCAAATGTTATTCGGGACTTAAAGAATTAAAAGAATGGTTTTTACTTTTCTCAAGGATCTTATGTAATTCTTTTCGGCAAATCACAGTGTAGGCTTTCACGGCAACATATGACTCAAAATATCATGTCATTTGTGCATTGATCTCATAGGATTCTCATTCAGATAGCAACAACCAGTAATGTCTCTGTTAGCCGTCATAACAGTAAAAAAATCTCTGTCCTCTCTTGGGGAGGTTGACCCTTTGTTATCAACGCTTGTTCCTTCAGAGTCAAGAACTACAACAACATTATTCCTAGCGCACATCAAGTCAATTTTTAGTACAGAAATTGCCTTTCCACCTGAGTAATGACCAACAATCTGTATCTCTATTGACCCTTTACCCCTTTATACTGTCAAATGATTAAAAATAGATTTTAATATAATATTTATTGTTGAAAATGTAACAGCTCGCCCTAGAGTTAAAGTTGATCCGATTACTAGTCATAGAGAGTACAGGTCTAACGTACACCGCCCTCCCCCTTTCTTGGTAATGGTCTGGACGCGATATCACATGTATAAGTACTTTTAAGCTCATTTTTTTTCTTTTTAATATTTTTAAAGTTATGACCATTTCTTTACTATAGCTGCAGACCTTTTCTTTCTTATACTTAAAACATTGGGCGCTACGATGATTGGATTTACTTTGGTGCTTACATGAATCAGTCTTCTGATTTTAATGTTGTGAATAATAAAAATAATAATCGGCCTAATGGAAAGCTTATTCATTTTTAGTGTTATCTTGATTGTAATTGCTAGGAATTGTTTTATCATCACTCTTAAGCGATAGCAGCTTCAACTATGTCAGATAGCATTAGTCAGTCAGCTAAACAATTTCTGTCTTTTATAACATTCTGCTTAAAGTTGGTCCACCCTTCATCAAAAGGTGGGTATCATTCGGCCACTTATTTTCGCCTCGCGGTCTTGGTGCTCTATCCGTTTCCACAACAAATTAATTCTATCTATAGATCTAATATCTTCATTGTCGCCTTTTTTTCAAAGTACAGCGTTAATGATTGGAAGCAATAGCTGTTGCCATCGCTACCCCATTTACAGTAAATTATGTTGTGGTCTATAAGTTAAATTTTTTCTACTTCTTCCTAGATAGCCTGACTACTAAGACTATTTCTTTCACTTACCTAAAGTAATTGGTCTGAGTTTTGAAAAGTAACAGCGCCGAAGGCTCCATATTGTTAGGTAATCTATTATGAAAATATCCGCTTTAACAAGACTCGAGAGCAAGTTACATTTCACATTATCAATTACCAGTGGAATGTGCGTTGCTCACAAAAACGAATTCATTACCTGTACCCGTCTATTCAATCTTTTCCTTCTGAGAGAGTTATATTATTATTTTAAGAAGGCGTTATTACAACCCATGGACTGACTCCACAATTAACTCACCCCCTTTTTTGTAAATTCAAATAGCTAACTCTTCATCACTAATGGTACTGTAATTTACTTGAGCGTTGTTAAATTTAAAACTTAGTAACGCAACATAGTGCAACTCCCCATCATATCGTTAAAGTAACGGTGTCACTTACGTCTGTCTGCAAAATTGTCTCCGGTCAGCTTCACTTGTTCTACGTATGCTATCGCTTCAAGTAACTTTAAAACCGCCTCTCCAGCCAACTTCTGTTCATAGCTCTAAGTAATAGTCTACTATAAGCCTCCAATAGTATAGCGTGGTCCTTCAGTAATTCAAATTTGCAACAAGCATCACAATTTCTTTTTTGTTTACGGGGTACTTCGTGTTTTTAAAGCTCATACCCGTTTCGCTAATACCCAAGAACCTTCTTTACTAATCTCTCTTCCTAACTAAATTACACATGTTTATAAAAAATAGCCTTTCTCAAGTCGTAGCTTTATGTTTAACTTTGCATGTCTAGAAGACAAAGCGCCTAGTGTCTAATGTTCTATTATAGTTTTACTACTCAACAAACGGTCGTCAATGTAAACATACTTATCTCTAAGGCCCACTATTACAGAGTCCATACCCCTATGACACTAAAACAGTACAATTACATAACTAAAAAACAATAGAGTCCTTCGCACCCTGCGCCTGTCCGGTATAGTGGGAGCTAAGTATTTCCTACTCTCCTGAACTCACGCTGAATAAACCTTTAGCATTATTCAAGTGGTAAAAGAGTACTGTTTCTTGCTTTCAAGTTATTCAACTTTTTATTTAAAATCGTATATTTTGTGACAACACAATATTAGTTTAAGCAACCTAAATAATAGCGCAATCCCATAAATACTCCATACTTAATTTGTACCTCCCCTCTTGATGCTTTAGTCATTAAATTAAGTTATCACTACCTGTCCCTTATTTTACACATAATCAAGGCGACAATTTAGTATTCCTAACCCAACAGTTTTTCGCAAACGCGTTGGGATGTTCTATCTACACAGGACTAAAGTTATCTTAAACTCAACTTGTAAAAGGGCCAGTTCATAACTTTCGATTATTATTTCCGTCACACCACTGCCCTTCAAACTCTTTAACTTTCTTTTTACAGCTTTTACAGAAACTTTCGCTCAATTACCTTTAATATTCTTAAATTTTTTTATAAATTCGTCTCTATTATATTTTCTTTGCTACCAGACTGTAAATTTTTTATTCCGCCCTACTTGGCATCCTTAGAACTTTTGTTTATCAATTCTCGCCACCTATTAAACTAACAAACAAAATGTTAAAAGATTTTGTTTAAAAACAAAGATAATTCCTTTTAAAGCTTTGTTGTAGTAGGTTAAACCTTACTGTGTAAAAGGACAAATTTTTCGGTGCACAAGTCTAAATTTTGGTAGCCTGTGGCTCAAAGAGAATTACTTGCGCTGAATGTAGATTACATTGTAAATTCAGAAATTAAAAAACCGAAAACCCTGATCCTCTGTGATATAGAAAAAAATTATTAACAAAATCAGAAAATTATAAAACGAGAAATAATATTAATACTTAAAAAAAAAGTGTGTTAATAACTAAACAATATATAAGACGAAAGAATAACAAGCAAGATTTAAAAAAAAAAGCAATTTTTTTTAATGAAAAATTGAAAT